AACATACTCTGTGTTAAAAATATGGTATGAATACCTCACTAACAGTTACATAAGCATTTACGTTTATAATAGCATGCAAAGTTTTTGAAATAATTGGTACTTTTTTATTAAAGTACCATTAAATTGATTAGAAATTATAGTCAATACATTGAGAATGTGATAACTTTACATCCATCATAGAATCCTCCATTTGCAGCAATCATAGACATTTTGGTTTGCAAACGTTTGGCATTCTAGCTTTTAATTTATTAAGATATTCAGGGGAAATTTCAGCTGGCACCTTCTATCACTCTTCCCAGTTGTGCATCTGGCTTGTAGAGCATTTGTCTTTGATCTTATGGATAAACTGATCTTACAAGATGGTTAATAGTGTTGAGATCTGGTGATCTGGTGTCAAACACAATCTTCAACATTAACAGAGATTATAAGTTGCTTGTCTAACATCCCTGTAAAAATAGTTCCACACGACCGACATTTTCAGTTGATCTGCTGTTGGTCAAACTGTTTGCTCAAGAGTGTCTGTGCTGACCAGCATAGAAGGGTGAAAGGAACATATAGTGGGCCAGGAAAAAGACTTTTTACTAACCTAATTGAACAGAATAAAATGATTCAGCTATGCCCATACAATAACAAATATTTCTCTAATAACCCATTAGCTTTTAAACATGTTAATTAAGGATGGGCTAAGAGATTTGCCATTACGGCATTGGAGTAATGGCTGCTGAAAATGGAGTAATGATTGTTTCAAAGTTGACAAATAACAAAAGCACGTCAGAAATGTAAATTATGTTTTTTTTTTTTCTGCAAAAAAAACAGTCTATATGCATTACAGTCCTTTTTGATCAAAGTTAAATCATAGTAAACTTCTGCTGGTATCTTAGGCTGTTTAGAATTCACACGTTCAACTGAGTTTCTCTGGTTGTTTCAGTGAGCTCTGAGTTAGAAGTTATTAATATCAAATTATAACATTTTATCGCCAGTGATAATGGTGATTTCTAAGAGTTAATTCAACTTAGACAGTGACATGTTTTGAGATTGTCATGCTTTGGAAAATTCTTATAGCCACTGTTTTGACATCTGTCATCTAATGTTTTGGAAATTGTAGTCCAACAAGACAGGTCCTTACCGGTGCCTGCACACACGTCATTCTCGAGACTAATGCTAATTGAAGAAGTAAAAGGATTAGTTGCGGTTCTCAAAAAAGTCAAAATAATTGTCTTTCCATGAAAGCAGATTAATGGCTTAGACCTCTAGGTGCTCCACTTCTTTTCTGTTCTGTGTCATTCAACAAAAATATTCAGTCAGCAGCTGAACTGCTCACATTCACAAGAATATAATGGAGGTGTCTAAATGTGCAACACATTGTGTGGCACAACTAATTTCAACACTTACCATTTTTGGAGTTTAGGTTTGATGGGTGCTGCTGAAAATGTTAGGAGGCATTTTGCACTGTGCGTTAGTTGAGGACAATAAAGGACTCGAGGGTGCACTATTTTCTGCCTGTTAGTGTGACATCAGCATGGTGACCTGGTGACAGCTGGTCCAGGGGTAAAATACTGCGCAAACTGATGGAATATGAAGGACCTTGTGATTTTACAGCAGTGCTGTCTTGCTTGCTTAAAATTGTACACTGTGGACAAAACTGACATTTGCATATCATCACTGTCAAATATGTACAAACTTATACATGTCTGTACCTACTCGAAAGTACAAGGACAGCCCAATAGTCCAGTGGTTCTCAGTCCTGCCAGTGCTCTGCACTAGAGATCTGTACAGGACATTTTTAAGTTCCACTCATGCAAGATTTCATCCCTCCCTGCCAACTTGCACAGAAAATCTTTTCCCTTTGTCCCACTTCTGCCTGCAACCAAAAAGTTTTCGCCATTATCGCCGAACACACTTTGTTTTTTTTTCCAAAACCCAACGCTGTTTATGAAGCTAATTAACAAGCCCCTCCTGAGGCAAGTTGGGTGTGTCAGAGCAGGCAGGACAATAGAACATACAGGGCAATAGTACTCCAGGACCAGGATTAAGAACCACTGCAGTCCTATCCTTTCATGCTTTATTTAGATAGATGATATGTCACAGGACTCCCAAGTGGTGCAACATGTGATCATTGGCACTATTTCTGGGGCATCGCAAGTCCGATCCCCAACAATTCCACAACCATCCATAGCCGGGATTCTAAGAGAGCATAATTGGCTTTGTGCTCTCTTGGGGGGTAAGAGATGGTCCTCTCTCTCCCCCATCATTCAGCACTTTGGTAGCCAGTGCAGACATCTGTTAGCTGACATAAGAGAATTGGTAGTTAGTGTTCTTCTCCAAGCGCATTGAGCTGTCCAGTAACATTGCCTTAGTGGCACTTCGAAAACTTGTTGAGGCTTCATGTGTCTCAGAGGAAGCACTTACTTCACTTTAGCCTTCACCCTCAGTGGCAGGCATTGTGTGATGGGGGAGACCTAGCAAGCAAATGAAAATTGAACATGACCATGATGGGAAAAAAAAATATATATATATATATATATATATATATATATATATTATTATATATTATATATATATATTATTAAATATATATATATGTGTGTGTGTGTGTCCCAAAAAATCCCAAAAATACTCAAAAAGGCATGTCACTATTTCTGCTTTTGCTCTAAACAAGACAGCCAGTTATTTTTGTTGTTTATTATGTTTATTATTCTTCATGAAAATGATGAATTTGGCTAATACTGTTCAAAAACATCGAACCTAGTCTGTAGAAACAGCACAAAAACATCTTATTTAAATGCGTTGCACATAATTGAGATCATTCGTTCAGAATCGTATGAGTAACTAAAGTAATGAAATTCTACAACAAAACTGTGATTACAAGAACTGAAACTGTAATATTCTCTGCTTTCTTACAGGAGAATGTAATGACTTTACTGTAACACGTTGCTTTTTACTGCATTAACCCCAACACTGAGAATGTTGTTAACACTGACAGCATTAGTGCATGCTTAGTGCATGCGGAGCTACTTTTGCGTCTCCTTTGGGTGTTGCTGAGAGGAGGTATGCAAGATGATATTTACACTCTACTTAATGCCCATTCGTGTTTGTGTGTGTGTGTGTGTGTGTGTGTGTGGGTGTGTGTGTGTGTGTAGGTGGACTGGCGGTGGTTAAAAAAAAAGGTCTTTGTTAGCGAATGATGAAAGTAGCCACTGTGAAATCTCCACCACTGTAATTACAGCCACACTGCAGCACAGCACACATAAAGAGCAGAAAGAGAGTGAAAGGAGCTGGCATGCTGCCAGTCTGAGCATATTTCATGACGTGTAGACGCACAGATCACATCACCAGTTCCCTTTGAACATGTTCAAAGAATTAATGCACGCATTATTAAGAAGATATGTGTTGTTTAAAATCGTCTCATTTTTTGTATAGTTTCAATAATGTATCCTTTAATAGTGAAAACATTCATCTGCACTATTGGCTTATTGTGAGTGATAATATTTATACATTTAAGTTATGTCTGGGGCTTTTTAAAACATGCCAGACAATAAAAATAGCCTTAACCCTTTAAGGGAGATGCAAAACAGTGACTGTTACTGCTGTTTAATCTGCTCGTCTCAGTGAATCGCGCAGTTTATCAGTGCTGTTGTTGGATTTATTCAATATGTAAAGAATGAGATCTAATAAAGCCAAAAATGTCTACCTTTTTATTTTGTTTGAGCAAATCCATGACTAGGGACACATATCACACACATCAATAGTGCTGTATTGTTTCTCTGATTAAACAAAAGAATATTGATTTTTATGCTTCAGAATCATCTAACATATGAATGATTGTTTTTATTAACCGTTATATCTCCCAGAGATAAATCTGTGTTAAATCTCAGCTTTTTGAGTATGGCTATATTGCTTTACGTAATACAATCAGTTACTGCACCACGTATAAAAAATCTAATGATGTTCATCCAGAATGAGAGAGCAGAGTTAGCAGACAGTGCATCAGCGGTTTAAAGTGTCAGTCATATGCCAGTGTATCTATTAAATGTTATGTCAGATTCTGTTTAATGTATTACCTCAAAAATTCAAACTAAAAAGGGCTAATCATTTTGCATGACTTCACCATTCATGTCGTGTACATGCTGCTTAAAATATCAGCACCGACGACTCAAAACACCATCCTGCGTCCCTGGAATCTACACACTTATACGTTTCTCAGAATGGTGAGATGCTCAGTTCAATAAGGTTTACTGAACAAATCAGGCAAAACCTTTCAAAGACTCACATATTACTAGAAAAAGATAAACAAAGATAAAAACAAATATAAGAACATCCTTTGCACACCTTTACCACTAATGCTCAGACTTTGCCTCATTCACACTTGTACCCTTTAAAGAGTAATTTCTTTTACCAAAATGCACACATTCAAATTTGCTATGAACATCCTATTTAACAGGATGTGATGTCCTCAGCATGTATGGCCAACAACTGTCTGTTCATGTAAAATTTGGCTGTGGAGTTATAGAGTTATAGATGTAGCCAGTGGTGGCACGTCATTTTACTGCAGTAGCAGCCATGCACGCATGAAGAACCAGTTTTTTTATGCTTCCCTCGAGCGCTATGCCACAAAAAGTGTATAAAATAAACCTTTTTTGACATTTTCAATTCACAAAAACTGAAAACTTGACTGTAAAACCAGCCAAAGCTGATATATTACTCAGCTTTCCTGGCAATGTGTTGACGTGTTCATACATGAGCCTTCCAGGTAGTTTTGTAGGAATTGTACTTGGCCTTGTACAGGTACATTTCTGCATCAGTCTTAAAAGGATTTCGACTCTGGCTTGTGTTCACACTGAACCCCTTTACTGTGTAATGACCACTAAATGATCATGTGAAATGCATGTGGGAAAGTGCCTTTACTATAATGTAAGTAGAAGAATTAAAAATATGCATTATCAACATAGCTACAGCCATAGTGGAATGATTCAGTTTCTCTTCCTCTGCTCTCTCTGCAGATCATCGCCTATCAGCCATATGGGAAGTCAGTAGACTGGTGGGCTTACGGCGTCCTGCTCTATGAGATGCTGGCTGGTCAGGTACGTTCACATCTCTCTCTCTCTCTCTTCAGCTTTCTCGTCAGGTGCGTCAGTTTCCTCCTGATGACTCACCCTAGGTGATGAGCACTTTTTGAGCCGTGCTGAATGGCCGTGATTGCAGCCCCACCGCGACAAAGTGGACGGCAGCCTTAATGGCTCGCTGTGCTGCTGCCCAGCCATCTCCAAGTAATTACAGAGTTTGGCTCTTTGGCCAAGCGTAGAGCTCTGTGCTGCCCAGTCTGCAGTCCAACTCATAAACCCAGAGCAATCACCACTCCCTTAAAAGATCCTAAAATGGTTTTTTGGCTTGGACGAAGGGTTCTTGGAAAAACCTCCACCATTATGTTCACACTAGGACATCTCATTTATAAATATTGTTCAAAAACAGCTAAAATGAAGAAAGTAAAGAAGTGCTTTATGGAGCCAAAAGTGCTCCAGAGGAAGCTTAGGGCTGCAAAAAATATTTGATAATATTTGCAGAATTCTACAATAAAATAAACAAAATATTCTAAAACAGAAAAGCCATTAGAATAACTGACACGTGTACTTTTATAAAACTACGCACTTCTGTGGGAAAACAAATACTTACCAAACTAACTCACCACTAGTAGAATGCAGTTGCCAGCTCTGCGCTCCAAACTCACTGAAGATGTGAGACATTCCCAACTGAAGGCAACAGCATCGCCTTGCAGGTGCATTCCAGAGAAGTTTATTAGTGCTCCAGATTGCTATCAAGCATGTTCTCAGTTGCATTAATTCACTTCTAAATGAGGGTTGGCTGACCAGAGCTGTAGGAAAAGTAGCAATAAAGTTCAGTATAAATCAGTTTTGAGTGGCTTAAAGACTTTATTCACTGTTCCCAGACAAGAGCCGAGCAAAACGTTGCTTTAATTTTTATGGTGACGGTTAAAAAGATGCTTACAAGACATTCCTTCAGCTCTCCTGCACCGCTCACTACTGTGATTTGGCAAGATCCTTGGATTAGCAGTTTAATACAATTTGCTATGTACGTTTTATGTAAAAAATTATTAATTAGTGATTTTTTTAATGTCCTGTAGTATTTATTTATTTATTTATGATCATCTACATCTGGTGTAAGTGCCAGCTGGATGAGGACCAGGTTGTTATATGCCACTAAAAATATCATGTGGAGGACAGCACCACATTGTTATATATCCGTTACACAAGGCGCTTGGCTTTACAAGGTCTCACTTTGAGTGGAATTTGGATGCTGTGGACAGAGAACAAGGAACACTTATAATAGATTCATGGCATGTTCTGTGGGTCTGTGTGTCTGCTGCACTCTTTATGCTCTGTCTCTCCCTTCATCATTACCTCTCATCATTTTGTCTGAAGGTGAGTCGCTGCCCTCTTCCTCACCTGATATGTGCTTGCATTCTCCCTTTAGTTACTGAAGGAATGACAGGGGGTGGATTATCATTACAGACAGCTTTAACTGCAAACTATTATTGCAAAATTAACTGTTAGAATAGCCAGCTGTTCAGCTGAATGCTCAGTTATCAGTACTGTTACATGTTGCCTCTTTCTAAAAAGAGCAAGCCACTCACATTCTAACTAATTTTCTAAAGTACTGTCAGTGTTGTTCACGTATATGTTCACATACATTCTCCAAGTTAATGATTTATTGCTCATGTTGACAAGTCCTCAGACTGCAAAGCTATGGAAGTTCTCCAACTTCTACAGGGTGAAGAATTTAGTCAACATGTCATCAGTTCCACTCGTAATCATGGTTGAATTTCATAATTTCTCACAGACAAACTCTTGATTTTCACAATAACGTTGGCTGTCACTTGTTTTTGGCATCTGTACAAAAAACCCAACAATTTTAGGACCCCTGCAACAAAATATCTACCTATGCTCATTAATAAAAATCATTTTAAGGCATTATCTACAATAAAGTTTGTTAACTAGAGGCAAAATACAGATGATGCACAAGTTTATAGCTTTAACACTCAGCTTTTATCACAAGCTCTAGATTTAGTTGCCTATATACAAATAAAAAAGGTAATCGCAGTCTGTGGGCATTCCTGGGGAAGAAAAACAAATGGATATGGTTTTTCAAGAAGGTATGCCAGACAGTAAAACAACCATGAAGCAGGACTTAAATAAACTGTGGAATTTATAAAAAATGCATTGATGCCCATAACGAGGCAGTATCTGTACCTATTGTAGTTACTATCTCTGCCTTTGCTCAGAACAAGACACATTCACTTATGTTTCATTAACATTATTAATGGCTAATGTGAAATCTCAAAAATAAAATTTTAATGAATAAAATGTAATATTTACAGATCTATTTCTTAATGTGATTTGGCAGGCCCCCTAGTGGCCACCCAGCTGATAGAATAGAAATTAACTAGATTAACTAGAACACTGTTGGCTCTCTGTGTGGGAAATGTTGTGTCACTGTGTTGAGCTGCTAGGAAGAAACAATATGTGAAAGGAGAGAGATGAGAACCCAAAGAATGGATCCTAGACCAAATCAAGCCCAGATAACCAAACTGAAGCTCTCTTACTTTGGACATATTCTGAGAGGAGCCAGTTCATTGGAAAAGACCATTTTGCTTGCAAGAGTGGAAGGTAAAAGAGGAAGAGGACAACCAGCTACAAGATGGATTGATACAATCAGAGGAATCATGAACCAGCCATTGAGAAGCCTGAAGACCCAAACAAAGACAGGATATTCTGGAGAAACACTAATAATACTGTAATACCATAATAATACTGATAAAACAACAATAATAATAACACATTACTAAATTTGACTCATTACTACCAACACTATTTCTAAAAGCTCAAATCATTCTGGAATAATATAAATATCACAGTGTATCTTTGTACACCAGCTTTTGATTGGCTAATGTTTTTCATCATAAATCAGATGGTTAATGATTTCTTGAAATTTGAAGAAAGAAAATATTGACAGTCTCTTAAGCGCAGAAAGAGAGAGGTTAAATAAGCTGATGGCGCTTTCACATCTACCATGTTTGGTGTAGACTACCCAAACTTTTTTTCTTTCATTTGGTCTGTTTTGACAGGTGTGAATGCTCCACCTCTACTAAAGTCCACACCAAAGAACAGCATCAGTGCACGTCAGTCTGCATAATCTGCAGACTCTTGACAGAGGCTTATTTCGTTCCTGTAGCAAAAGCTGTTGCTTATAATGGCAGATGAGGAATAGCAAAGAATTTGCTTTTGTCACTTTGCCCATGAAAAAGTATTTTTGGTAGGTTGGAACAGACATCAGCGATGTCATAAAGCGGCAGAGATAGGTATAATTTAATGTTATTACCATATTACCATGATTGGCCAGTAAAAGATTAAGTGTACTAGGTGTACAAACAGCCGAAGTCCAGATCTTCTGATTAGGCCTGAGTTTAAGGACCTGTCTGTTGACTTTCGTCCTTTGAAATTTTGCCAAAGTTAGACCCTTCTTTTCACTGCAGAATGCACCTCAGCCTTTGTTTTATCTTAACTTAATGACTGTAATGCATTATTCACTGGGCAAGACTACCTTTAAAAACACAGTAACAGGCTGTAGGCAGACTATTTAAACAGAATGCACCAGGAGTGCAAACACAAACTCAAGAACATATAACTGTTCTGGCAGCCTTTTGTTCCTTTACTTGTTTTTTTTTAACAGTTAGTAGTACATCTCAGACTCCGTTTGAGTAAATATTCTGCAGAGGTTTTCTTAATGTCATCCATCACTGAAGTGCTGAATGTACCAAGAACTAATTATGATGACAGCAGTGAGGCTGCCCTTGGTGTTGCCGGTGGTCACAGAAAATCTTCCCACACAAAATTTAACAGGAAATTTCAGGACTTATACTTTTAAAATTGGATTTTTCAAAGATTTTATTCTTGCCTCCAGTTATATTGTTTATTTTTTTTACTTCCTACTTATTCACTTAATTTTATTTTATTTATTTATAGGGAAGACCCACTAAACCCTCTAACCCTTACCCTAACCCTAACCCTTAGGCCTCATTTTCAGGCATGCCATAGTACAAAATCAAAATCACACAAAATACAAGAGAAGGTGGAGAGAAAACAAGTGAATAAATAAAATAAAATGTATTAATAATAGTAATAACATAAAAATTATTGAAATAGATTACAGCAATTAATTTAAACTACTAAAATATAGTATATATTATACAAAAACATAAAAGAAAAAGACAAATAAAATCAGTCAAATTTATCTCTAAAAAATACTTAATGCTCTGACAACTGAAATTTTATTATTTAAAATATTCCAAGTGTAAGTAAGAGCTTTTTCCCCAAATCTGAATTCACTCTTGCCACCACAATGCATAATCTTTATATGTGATTTATACGTGGTTAATATTATTTTTGTTACATTTTTTGTTTCTCTGTTTATGTTATTTTTATTTGGCCATTAAGCTGCATTTTGTATACAAGGAACACTATATAAATAAGTTATAAATGAGTTTATAAATGATTATCAACAACTGCAGTCCAGTCTGCAGTTTAATAACTCAAACCAGCACACTCCCACATAGATGCATTCGCATGCTCGTAATGACACCTACTAACTTAAGTAGCATCTGCCTCATGGGTATTGATTAAACTGTTTTAATTGCTTCTTTTTCGACCATCAACACAGCTTCTTTTTCTTTTTTAACAGGCCGCCAGAGCCGCGTTTAAATCACACTCAGCCCATGTGCTTTCGAACAAAACACAAAACAGTTGCCAATCAATTTCATACAAAAAAATTCTGTTGCCAAGGTTACCCAGTTGGCTTCCCTTGACGCCCGAGTCCAATTACCCAAACCAATGAATCTGGTTATGCAATCAGCAGGTTCTTTATGCCGGCTTCATCTTTGACACCCCCATCCTGGAAGTCTTTGCAGTTATGTAATGTGTTCTTTCTCCACCATGGGGTGGTCTGTTACATATCTCGTCTTTGCGGTTTGGATGCCAACTCAGAAAAATGTCCCAATGTTTGCCAACAGCCTCCGTTTGACGGCGAGGATGAGGACGAGCTGTTTCAGTCCATCATGGAACACAACGTCTCCTACCCAAAATCCATGTCGAAAGAAGCTGTGTCCATCTGCAAGGGGGTGAGTAATGTAGCAGCTGTCTTCTTAACCTAGCTAGGATCAGTTTCATCATATAAGAAAAAACTTCCACCAAAAGTGGAACAGGCTGCCGGCGGTGCTCTGTAGGCGACCCTGCCAGTCTGCAGTGATAACAGAGGAGGGTAAAGTTCAGCAACCTTGCTGAGTTACATTTATGGCATCATAGGCCTTCAAAGAGGGAGAGACAGTTATTTATTATTTCCCACCCCAAATTCTTTGGTGATATGAAGCTGAAATCAGCCATTTGCCAGGTTCTTGTTCAGATTCTCCCATTTCACTCAAATGTTTTTTTGTTTACCATTTCAGGTGAAATGGGACATTTAGCCAGCTAGCTACCGCGACATCAGCATTCTACTAGTGATTTTTTATGCTTGTTATGAAGAAAATGACCAAAGTATATTAAAATAACATTAAACTAAGATAAAATGAGGGTTATTCTAATTTTTTTAACGGAGAAATACTTACATTTGTGGGTTTCTTTGATCGCTTGCGCAGCCATTTTGTCAAGTTTTTCTTTTCTCATATCACTCCATTTGGAGTGTGCCCTCTCTGTTTGGAGGTCCATGTAGCCCTAACACTTCACCCTACCCCTCTATCTCAACAGAAATTGGGACACCCTACCCCTAGGGTTTGCTTTTATGTTTAAAAGCAGAGGAAGTATTTAAACGTTTAGCATGGATTGGAAACCATTATTTTCAAAGACTGTGAAAGGACTTATGGAGTAATCTCTTTTCTTCTTCTGTCCCTTCCCCCATTCTTTCATAATCTCCACACATACACATTCTCTCTCACAGCTGATGACCAAACACCCCTCTAAGCGTCTGGGCTGTGGTCCAGAGGGGGAGAGAGATATTAAAGAGCAGGCCTTCTTCCGGAGGATTGACTGGGATCGACTGGCCAACAGAGAGATCCAGCCTCCATTCAAACCCAAAGTGGTGAGTGTATGTGTAGGTGAACATGCGTACATGCTGTTAGTGCCTCAGAGTATGTTTCTTTATCTTCTGTATCTATATCTATATTCTGCATTTTTCAATACGTCATTATATCTTGAGTGATGCTCCTCAAACCAATAGATTCATATGCTCAAAATGACATTTTGTTAGTCTCCCCTGACAGAATACAGGGAAGATGGTCAACAGTTTTTACCTCAGATGAGAGGAATCAAAGTTAATTTGTGAGGCTAACCAATGCCACATCCTCTACAGAGAACAAAAAATAATATTAAATATGGCTTATAAATATTTTTATATGTTAAATTCAGTAAATAAACAGTATTTGTGTATTACAATATGGAGAAGTGTGTTTTCGGTAGAGGATGTTAACTTACTTTCACCTAGAAAAACAAGAAACCAGGGGTGCTGGAACTTTTGCATATGACTGTAAATGATTAAATATACCCAACTAGATCTTGCCTACTACCTGCCCAATTGACTACCAACACAATCCCGATTTGACTTGGGTAGCATGAAGCTTTCTACAGCATTATGTGTGTTCTTTCATGAGGTGAAATAAATAAACTCAAATCATTTTACTGGGTGACTTGGGTCACTAAAGGACTGGGTCTCTCTCTCTCTCTCTCACTCTCTCTCTCTCTCTCTCACTTTTCCTTCTTTATTTCTTTTCCTACACTGTGTAGATCCACAAAGGGTCTAAAAAAAGACAGCCCGAAGCTAAAAATATTTACTACCATTCAGTTCAAAAGCTGCTGTCAAAGCTCATCACTCTATTAGGTTTGAGTGAGGCTTTATGAATAGCAGTGCTGTAAGATTAGCACCAGGGGCCAAACCGCTCCATCCAAAGAGGCCGGAAAAGGTTAGAATTGGTCTCTTCAGGCCCAGAACTGGTGAGGGGCCGCTAGTATGGGTGAGAAAAAGGAATGGCCTTGATTGACCTGCTGTAAATGAAAGCATCAGAGAGAAAGCCTCTGTGTATTTTAAGGCTCGTGTGATGTTTGTGTATCAAAGCCAGGCAGTACTCTGTGGGGTGGACTTCCGCTGTGCATGTGGAGGTGTGTGTATGTGCCTGCCTGCGGCTCCTGTGGTGAGTGTGTGTGATTTGAGGGCAGAAGGTTTAAAGGGTCCGTCTTCCTCCCTCTGTGCAGGGGGTTTCTCCGTTCTCTCTGAAAGTCTTTCTTCAGCCCACCACTAATCTGGACACAACTGCAGAAACATTCAAACACAACTTTAACCTCCGCATACAGACCACTCTATTCACTAAGCTTTCTGCGCTTATATATATTCATGATATACATTGTTGGGAGTGGGCTTTACAGATACAAGAAATAATAATGCTATGATTAATGATTAATAATGATTAATAAAACCATCTCTCTCTCTCTCTCTTTCTCTCTCTCTGTCGTTCTCTTCCCTCTCTGCATCTCTCTCTCTTTCTGCTGCTAATAATAATAATGGGTGCTAAGGTGTTGCTAGGCTGTTGCTATGGCATCCCAGGTGGTTACTAAGGTGTTGCTAGCATACTTGTATGATGATGACATATGAGGAGTTTGGCTGACTGTGGTATGATAAGAGGTAGGGGTATAAAGATTATGTATTTTATATAAGTGGAACGACTCCGTAAGTGGAACTGGTCAAAAAAGCATAAGCAATGTATTTAGGTATAAGCTCTGCAGTTCTGCAAAGTTTAGTTATTCTAGCAAGAAGGCTGTGGGATGAGTAGTGTTAAAATGACTGTAGAATAAAAAGAAGAAGAAAACAGTAAGTTCACTTTTTCAAGCCAATTTAAAAAAAACATAATAAATAAATAATAGTCTTGCTTCTGTGGCTTCTGATGGAATATGACATACTGTTATCTATGGTAAAGGATAAGAGTATGTTGCAAAGCTAAAAAAACGCAGTAGCCATCTTAAAGCCTGAATTTTGTCTGTACTGTTGTCCATTTTTATAGATAACAGAATGTCAACGCAGTGTCACAAACCACATAAACAACTGAGGCAAGTGAGTGATGAATTAGGCATGCAGTACGCACAATGCTACTTTGTAGGTGATTGCGTCCATTACTTGTTAGCTACATTACCTCACAGCACGAGCACAGACTTAAAAACCGACAATCTTCCTGTAATCCTACTTTTTGTCAAGAGTCTCAGTCTCTCCCTCGCTTCCTCTCTCTTTCCAGTGTGGTAAAGGAGCAGAGAACTTTGACAAGTTCTTCACACGCACCCAGCCCATGCTGACCCCACCGGACCAGCTGGTCATTGCCAACATCGACCAGAGCGAGTTCGCCGGCTTCTCCTACATCAACCCACAGTTCATCCACCCGTCTGTACACGGCAGCGTGGTATGAGGACCCGAATGCACCTAAAACTCCAAAACACACAGCGCAGGAGGCAGCAGCCTCCGCCACTTTACAAACTCAATAAACCTATCTATACTGTTGATGACCCTTTATCAGAGCATATTGGAATGGAGGCCAGCTGGAAGGGGGGGGGACTCTTCGAATGGGTCCAAACAGGATGACAGCACTAAAGCATGTTTCTGTATCTATATGGCGCAATATATTTAATACATGGCAGCATTTCTAAAGTTCTTAAAGGTTCAGAGACCTTAGAGCAATGACAGCTTCACAGTCTGTTGACATATCTGCTTAGGCATATCATGTTGTTTCTTCGTTTATTGTCTACGCAATATAATGTGGAATTAAAACTACAAACACAGCAGCAGGATCTTCATGTCAGGGTGAGAATTAATAGCCCAATCTTCAACGCATCAGCTAACTCTGGGGCAGTGGTCATTGTCATAAGACAACCGTACAGCCAGTTGGTAATTGTAATATGAAAATGCTGGTACTTTCCATCATGGGCCCACGGCACCCCCCCCTTCCACAACCTTGCCATTCCATGTGTGTGAAGCATGTTGACATGAAACAGGTTTTTGTGTCTTAGACTTCCCTTCCCTCTTATCTACTGCCATTTCTAAATATTCTTGAAATATATATACATATACATACATATATATATATATATATATATTTGTAAATTTAAAAAGTACAATCTATTGTTATAGGAGTGCCAAAATATAAGTGCATTGAAAGATTTTATAACTCTCACTATATGCATATATGAATTTCCTACTAAAGCTCTTATAGATGTTCTTTGTCCTGACTCAGACTCCAACACACTGTTTCCTGGCTCTGTTTTATAGCATGATAGTTTCTCGAGCTTACATTTTATTCATGATGACATTCGATTCGTTAGGAATTGTTCTTTGCATCAGTCAGCATGCCATATACTGTACATTCAAGGCAGACTTCCTATAATAATGAACAGTCAAAAATGCACATAAGGGATTTGAGTTTTTACAGCGAAATGGGGCAAATTGTGTGCATGGTTAGTCTTATACCAGAGCTTATTTGCCTGGTTCATACTGACTGCAGTGATGCATCATGAGGAGCTATTTCTTTTCTTCATGGTGCAGTGGATGCTTAATGCAGAAATGCCCAGAGCAGCTGTGACTCTGAATGATCCTGTTGCTTCCGCCAATGCCGACAAATGGGAAAAGTCGGGATAGATAATTGAAACCCTCTAATCAAATCAGTCTTGAATGAATCAAGGTTTCGGGTTGATTAGTTGAGGCTGCTTTATACAAAGAATAGAATTGACACGCCAGTTCTTCAAGGGTTCTTTAGTGAACAGTTATATACCAGCAGTTATTTAGAACCATGACAACTAAAGGCAGTTCCGTTACAGCACGATACGGTTACTAATCCAAACTCACAACTATCCAACCCTGGTCAAGTACTAGTTTAAGTCTGTTTCCTATCACATAACAGAACTGTGAAAGTAGGCAGGATTATCTGGAGGTTGTTTGATGGTCACATGGTTTCCAGATGCTAGTGTTAGCCAGGCCTGGGTCATCAAGAATTTGGTGGGCCCCTATGTGGCTACCTTTTTTTTTGTTTGTTTGTTTGTTTCGGAATAATGTGTTTGAATGTTCCAACCAAGCTGAATAGTCTGGGTCTTGTAGTATATAAAACTAGAATCAGGTTATCTAGTGGTTCTAGAAACAAACCTCTTGAATGAAATACTTCTGTTAAATATGAATGGCTAATGTAAAGTTACATTTTATTTGTTGGCATTTAAAAGAGAATGTTTACCTGCCCTGATTACGTAAAGACAATAAGTTGCCAAACAGTACCTTTTCCAAACATGCTGTGTCCCGCTATGGCATGATAAAAAGTTATGGTCTATTGCTCACAGAAACACAGTCATTTTACGTACAAAATATTTAAGCACAATATTTACCCCAGTGAAGACAAAATGAATTTAAATTGGACTACCACAGCAGGTGTGGAAAATGTTTGTGGACCGTTTATATCTTTCAGTTTGGAGACAGTTCTGTAGACAGTTTGGAGAACCACTATTGACACCAACGCAGCAACTTTTGCTTTAGTTTGGGCTGATGTTTTTTACTTGTGTTTGGTTCAGGAAAAAGGGCATCCTTTACTCTGTCAGGCTATCAGGGGTCGCTTGAACAATTGCTAAGCGTTGCTTTGAGGGAAAAATAAAGCGGATTTTCAGGTACGACGTGGATAGCGTTAAGATTATGATCGGTCATAACGCAAGGCTGAAATTAGTTCATTTTTTTCTATGCCACTAGTAAAGTTCCTGCCGAGAGCCAAGACTGTTGTTTTGATTTTGTCATAACTTGGCTTGGGCTCTTGGCCACACGGCCGTAAAACCAATGATCCGGGCCTGCTGTTGACTGGAAACACAAACAACAGGGGAAACTATGGAGGAGCTTCAAGCTCTGATTTAACACTTACTCTGCATTTGGTTTTATGTCTAGAGCCACAGTCAGCGTTTCTAGTTAGCTAGTGTTTTTTAAAAATGGATTGTCATCTAACTCGAGTGACACGATTGTGTTTGACCAGTCAGTGGTCTGCATCATTTCTAGCTCCACCAACACGTTCCAGCTCAGATGTTTGGTACCCCAGTAAGACAGGTAACCAAATTCAGCATGGTACAGTTCACGAGGCAGAATAAATGTCAACAAAATGCATGAACACAGATTTGTAACTGTACTTTACCGCACTGCCTGTTGGACAACTGCCATAAAACCATAAGACCTGTAACCTTTCTTTTGGTACTGTTTAAGGCCCTTGCTGCTAAGAGGGTACACTCGCTATGTATGCATGGTGGCCCATCAGCTATCAAGTGGTCTAAATCCGACCAAGAATTTGTCGCTTCTTCATGACTTACTGTAAGACAGACTTACTGTAAGAATGAACAGTCATAGATGGACTGAATGGAAAGACCTCAGGGCCTGTGGGGCATTTCTGTTTTAACCAGTTTGCTATAACAAAATGCACAATGCAGTTCTATGATGCATGCTTAGTTCTCTGTTTGTAAGGTCCATTAGAGAACCCAGTAGGGAGGCAGTGATCTCCAATATCAAACCCGCCTCTCTGATATTGTGAGACCAAGTGTTTATGTACTTTCTGGTGATGAATTCTGTGTTCTACTATATGCTTTGACGTTCTTTTTCGAAAGCCGTGTTTCAATTATTATATATACACATAGTATTTCTTCACTTTTCAAACAAGCTTATTTTTTCCTGCACATATTTTTGTTTGTTTTATGTTTATTTTGTTTTTTTTCTCTGTGAATACTTTCATGTCGAGAGCTATGTTTACCGTTACACTAAAGGAACACTATATCAACCTTTTTTTGTTTTGTAAATGGCTGTTTCAGAAGAGAATTAACGTTAACTGTAGATTTTATACCAAGAACTTGAATGTGCTTTTACTAACTTAGATGGTTCTGAAATTTCTGTATGTTTTAGATGATCTGATAAAAAGGAGACTAGTTTGGCAAAAACTTTCATAGCTTTGGTATTGGCAAAATCTTGTTATATATGTATTTCATGTATCTACCCATACTTTTCGTTCGTGTTTATGAGGCGATATAACTAAAGAAGAAGAATCGAGGTATGAGCACACCATTTGGACTACGTTACTTGCCTTGAATCGACCAGCGCTCCTGCGAGTATACATCATTGTGTTTGCTTTCACTGTGTGCATGCGAGGGTGCGGGCAAATCAGAGCATGCATCTCAAGTGTCGCATGATACAAGAAATAAATAAAAAAAATCCTCTGGGAATGGCCGTGTCATGCCAAGTGCAAAGCCCGTCCCATCCTCTCTCGTGCTGTCGCTTTCGTTCCCATCTTCCTCTTTTGCTTGGCCACTGGATGGAGAACTAGATTAGGCAGTAGTTAGATTTAAATAGTACTAAACCTGCTCTTAATTTCCCCAGATAGGCTAAATTTTTCATCTTTGTAAATTTTTTCTACCTTCACTTGTGCCAAAATACCAGTGGATATGAATATGGGAAACACAACTAGACAACCTTCAGCTATGACCCATCAGGTACTTCACTCATTCTCCTCATCCTACATACCTCAGAGGTGTTCCTATCACACTCAAGATCGTTGAATTTGGGGTTTTCCATTCATGTGCCAAAGTTCACGGTGAAGCCTCCATTACTGGATTTGACCACTCTGTTTTTTTCATTTACACAGACACAATTGACCTGTACGTGCTCCATCCGCAAAAGCTTTCTTCTATAGCTACTGGGGCGCGGTTGGACAAGCTTTACAAAAACGTTGGCCAAAATCCAGTTCAACCTAATGATTTTGGAGTCACTACATCCCATCCGACACCAGAGAGCAAAACAATAACGCAACAAGAGTAATATGAACAGATTATAAGAATTTGAACTAGCTTATCGTTGGGCTAAAGTATTTAGATTAACCAATGACAACCGATGACTACTGTTATTGTTATCAGTATAACAATGGAAAATAGTAACTACTGTTAGGAGCACAGTGAAAATAAGAGTTAAGTCCATCAATGTCAGTGACTACTGTGAGAAGCCTATCATGATGATCTGTTAGTATGAATATGAGAAGAGCTCAGTGTATAGTGATGCAGGTGAAACCATGTCAGTGATTAAATAGTTTGAGTCTGTGCAGACACCAGTATCAGCAGGACGCTCCATGGTGGTCAAACTGGTCCAGAAGACTGGCGAGCAGAGGTGCCCAATCAAGGCAGATGAAGCAACAGCATCAGATCGCACAGGATGGGCAGTTATCCAGCTCGGGAAACAAACACACACAGTTCTGTTTGGGGTGACTGAGAACAATATAGTGTAAACAGAGTGTAGCAGTGACTCTGGCAGGTGTAGCTATTGCAGCCTAGCTTAAGAAGGGAGAGCCAGAAGGTAACAAAAACTCCCTCCCTCAGAGGCCAGCGCCCCCCCCGCTCCACCGCCAACAAACGACTAAGCAAGTGAGAGCAACAGGACGACATTCTCAGTTTACCATAATACTGTGTGCAAATGAAAACTTATTACCAAAGGCTTGACTAAACAAAGCCTAGACTTAAAAACTGATGCTGTGTCTGAGTCCTGAACACTGACTGGATGGTTATTCCAAAGCTGGGGGAGCTTTGTATGAGAAGGCTTTACCCCCTGATGTAACTTTATTAATTCTAGGTACTAACAGTGAGCCAGCACCTTGTGATCTAAGTAGACGTGACGGTTCATGTTAAGGGATATTTTAGCATACAAACCTAGAATACAGGCTTTTATACTATGCATTTCCATTGCAGCAATTAGTTCATCTGCTAAGGCTTATGTAAGAGAAATAGACACTCTGCTGTAAATCAGGAAATGACTACAAAGAGTAGTTAAGGTAGACATCTGCTAGCCATGTGATCAGTCATTAGTCAATTTAAAATAGGGAAAGTAGAAAGGAGACAACTAAAACTGAAGAAAGAAAGTAAACCACACACACGCTTGACTGTGTTGTAGCTAATCAATAATAGGCTTGAAAATAGCATTGTGGCAAAGTCACTGTTGTTTCCAAAGCCTAACATTAGCTTGATTACAGAACAACAAAAACGCTACACCTAATCTATCCTAACAGAGTGACGTTTCACACCTCTACATAATAAATATCATTTTAAAATAATAACCCACTGTAAATGTAGATATTTTGATAATTTGTGCTACAGTTTCTCATTGGATCAACAGAGATGTTTGCCATCGTTCTGTAAAACTTGTCCAGACTTGCAGCCATATCTAAAGACGTATTTGTGGGCAGAGCATGAATAGGTTCCTTGGTTTGGGTCTCTGGTTTTTCAGTTTCTTCTTCATTGAATGACATGAAGGTTGTGCAGAATGTTTAAGGACGTTTCTTTTATCCAGTGAGAGCCGAAGGACTTTAGATTTTTTTCAGTTACTAATATCAGATGGTAGATTATGCCAGTGTGCCCCGTATCATCAAGCAAGAACTACAGTGTGTCTCACATTGAGAGTCTTTGGAATTCTATTTAATATTTCAACACGTCAGATAGTGCATACTTAAAGTCTCCCTGGATCAATGAATATAGAAATATGTCATATATCTTCTTAAGAGATTTTAGAATTGCAGTAAATATATTGTCTGGTTATTCAGAAGGTATTTTAAATGCACATTTGAAATATTATTACTTAAAAAAAACTAACAAAAAAACTAAGGATAATATTATTGTCATGAATTTTATCAGAAATCTTTATTGCACTGATTACCAGTAGATCAATGAATCCGGGACAGAGTTTTGGTTTGAAAAAAGTTTTTTTTCCCTTCTTGTTTTCCTTTACCCAGTTTTTGCAAAAGTTTGTCCCTTTGTTCATTGTGAAAGATACTGTGTATAAATAAATGTCAAAGAAAAGCTGTCTCTGCCTTTTTTTGATGTACCTTTGAATTACAGCTCAACATGAGGGAAGATGGACACGACTGGCCTAATGATCACCTCACCTTTAGGGTCTGGCTACCTCAATCCCAGCAAGCCACCACCAGAACTCCTCCCCAAGCTTCTCAGAGTTCGCTTATGGATAGATGTTTTTATTACTAGGTAATACACCATTTGCGTGTTTGAACTACTCCTGGAAATGAGGTGGGGCTACAGGAGCGAACTCTGAGAAGCTTGAGCAGGGCTGCTGACCAGTGATCTACTAAAAGTCACCACAGCAATGGAATGCATGTAGCTAATCAACAAGAACAGCTGTTTTTCTGAGATGTAGCTAAACACAAGTCCTAATTAATTTTATTCATTAATCCCAGTTTACCAAGTGAATTAATTCAAGTTTGGGTGTAATGTGCATTTGGCTCTGAATAACGTAAAGGATCATCACCAAATAAAAAAAAACATAGGATGACTCAGTGATTTACTGTAGTTTCCTCCATTCCTTATAAGTCTGTGCTTGCAAATCAAAGAATTTCAGTTTTTTTGCTTGACTCAACACACCTGACCCAGCTCACACTAGTTTTAGAGCCTTTTGTGAGCTGGATCATGTTAAGTCATGGGTTTTTTGAAACTGGCCAGTGCTGTGGGTCAGAGAAGCAGGATTAAGAAAACACTGATCAATTCTACACTCTTAAATGTAATGGCTCCTAAATTGTGGGTTACATGGCTGTAAGGATTCTAGGAAAACATTTTAATTGCTGTAGAAACTTTACACTATGTTGAGGTCCTTAAACTTCAAATATTATTTTTCATGTTCTCACATCTCATTTACTCAATTGAGAGGTTACCTAAGGGAGAAGTTGACTGGTTTTTCAAAATTTCTACATAACTCAATTATTGAGATGTGAACAGTCATTCAGAGGAGTTTGATGATGACTTGCAGATATGAGTTTTCTTTACAGTGGTGGTGATAGGAACCAGAGGTTGCAATGTCTGCAACACAAACCAGCAGCTTTATTTACTGTCCAGCAACCAGTGATCCTAAACGTGTCTTCTGAGTTTCTATATGCAGTGTTGATGACATTGAAACAGTGATAAATCTGCATGTACCTCTCCAACATAATCATAAACAATGTCTCAGGCATCATGCAGCATATCCATAACCACTTCGCGTGATGACTTTTCTGTAAGGAGACTCAGCAAGCTTCTCCAGAACAGAGAACAGCATTTCACATCAAACCACTCTGAATGGTTTTGTTTACATCTTAACCATTTAATAATGCAGAAAATATAAAAAATCCCCTTTAAGAAATCAAACCCGGTTCTTCTTCTGAATCACTCCAAACATATTTTTGCCATCTTATTTTAAAGAGTGCACATTGTCCGACATTGTTCCAGGATGGCAGGCGTCCAGCACTGGGCTTATTTCCCTCTAACCTTTCAGGTTACTGAATAGTTCTTCGTAAAAACTTTCATGACAATGGAACCTTTATATAAAGTGGTGGTTCTTTAAACTTCTTCAGTCTTCATTCACATATCTCATTTACAAAAAAAATGGGTCTATAGAGAACCATCAGTTGAAAGATTTCTTTAAACGAAAAGGGTTCTTCTACAGATCTCCATACAGCCTTTCTTGGCCCCTTTTTTTTTTGGGAGTGCACAGCTGGAGATTTTTATTCTTAAAAATAAGTGTTCCTAAAAATGTTCTTGACTTGTTGGTGTGGGTGTAGGAAGACCCTTAGTCGGTATAGAACCATTTTAATTATACGGAGGTTCTTTAAACTCGTATGTCTTCAAAGAGCCATCCAGTAAAGCCTGGACTTTCTAAACTGGTAATGAACTGCTGAGTTGGGTATGTTTGAACAGGAAAATCAACAGAAGTGCTGGACTCCTCCCTCATCTTCATCGAGGCATCTGCGTGAAGTTAGTGGGCAGCAACCAAGAGCAGATGCAGCGCGTGTGTGTGAGGAGTGTAGTTGACGCAGAGGCTGCAGAGAGAAGAGCGCTCAAACAGGACTCTGGAACTGAGAGCTGCGTGTCCACAGTGAGTCTCTCCACTGTTCATCAGACTGATCTGAAGTGCAGCTCCATTACTTTCGCTGCTGCGCTGCTTTCATCCCCATTAACCAGCGAGCCGAGCAGCAGCAGCAGCCGGTCCCTCACACCGCTGATCTCTCTCAGGTAATGAACTTAATTCTTACGGTACCTGATGTCTCAGTTAGTGCTTCGTAGCGCTGCTCTCCTCATGGTGAATATGGATAGTTCACGTTTCGAGTCAGCCGTTACGAAGATCGAGCGCTCTGTCTGGATAAATGAACTGATGAGAGGTTTAGTTAACCCATGTAAACGCGCGCGTGACTGTATCCAGTTTATATTGAACATAAAGCCCGGACAGGAGCGCAGATGAAGGCGGATAAATTTCTGTGTATGTTGTAGAGAAGTTATTATATATGAAATGTACAGTTGATATATGTTGTATGAATACGTGTCTGTAAACGAGACTGAAGTTGGCATTTAAGGAGGAACGGAAAATTCGAGCAAGAAGCCTTCAGCTTCGTGACTTGAGGAATTGGCTTCATTGGAATGCTGGGAAAAATATAAGTTCAGTATAAAGGCTTTGTGTTGGAGTAGAAAACTGACACACACTAAAAACCCCCAGTGATCAATGACCGCTTACAATGGTCATTTGTGTCCATATATATATATATATATATATATATATATATATATATATATATATATATATATATATATGTATATGTATATGTATATACATATATATTTATACAAATGCTGACAGCTTAGAGATCCATTTGATTGTGTAAGTGGTTCTTTGTGTGATTTAATGATTCTTCTTTATGATGGAAACCTGTTTTATATGGGTCTTTAAAGAACCTTTTTAAAATGGATCTACATATTACACAGAAAGGTTCCACTGTAACAAGTCCGAGAACCTTTGTTTGGTACTATATAGAACCCTTCTTGTGTAGACTGTATGAGACGCTGTACTTACAGTTTCAGCCAGTCAGCTCCTATTAGTCACTCTCTCATCTGACATCTCACATCATCACCACCACTCTCAGCTGTATGTGTGTGTGTGTGTGTGTGTGTGTGTGTGTGTGTGTGTGTGTGAGTGTGTGGTTCATACGTGTGTACAGAAGAGAGCTAGAGGGAAAGACAGAGCATGCAGAGTGTATATGAGTATATGAGTCTGTTCTAATCACAGATACGGAGAGTGTGACAGAGAGAAACAGAGAGAGAGAGAGGGAGTGGAAGATAGGGAGGGAGGGAGAGAAAGAGAGAGAGAGTGGAAGATAGAGTGAGAGAATGAAAGGTATAGATGGAGAGAGATTAAGTGAAGAATAGGGAGAGAAAGAAAGAAGGAGAGTGTGAGAAAGAGGAAGAAAGAGGAAGTAGAAGATAGGGAGAGGGAGAGAAAGAAAGAGAAGGAGAGAGACTGAGAAAAAGAGGGAGAGAGAAAGGCAGAGATGGAGAGAGAGTGAAGGAGACGGGGAAGAGAGTTAGAAAGAAAGAGTGAAAGGGGACAGAGAGAGAGAGAGAGAGAGAGTGAAAGATGGAGAGAGAAAAGGAGAGGGAGAGAGAAGCAGAGGGAGAGAGGAAACGGGGAAAAAAGGGAGAGATGGAGAGAAAAAAAGAAAGAGGGAGAGTGAAAGAGATGGAGAGAGAAGTAAAGTGAAGAAGATAGAGAAGGGGAGGGAGAGAGGAAACTAGGACGAGAAAGAAAGAAAGGGAGAAATAGGGAAAGAAAGGAAGAAAAAGAAAGAGAGGGAAAGCAAACGAGAGAGGGGTAGAGAGAAAGTGAAGGAGAGCCAAAGAGACAAAAAAGAGGAAAAGTGAAAGAGAGGGAGAGAGGGCAGTAAGAAAAAGAGAGAGAGGCAGAATGAGAGAGAGAGAGCAAGAGAGGGGCGAGATAGGGGGAGAAGAGAGAAGGGAATAAAGAAAGAGAGACAATATTCTAATTATTCTAATTCTAATTATTATTAGGGTTATTATTGTTATTGCTGCTGTTATTAACACCTTTGCTATTAGTATCATGAAATGTTCCCTTTTATGCTCTGGCAATCTTGATAAAGTCATACTTGATACAGTCATGCCAATAAAGCTAAAGCTGGGATGGATGGATGGATGGATGGATGTATAGATAGATAGATAGATAGATAGATAGATAGATAGATAGATAGATATACAGGCAGACAGAGAAACAGAGAGAGGGGATGAGATAGAGAGCGATTCTTTGTAACAGTAATGAAAATGTTCAGCCTGTAGCAGCTGCTGCACCTGTACAGCTCAGGTTTGAAGGCATTGGTCTGCCTACTGTCAGTCCACATCACTAACAGGTGAACCCCCCCATCCACCCACCATTAGAGCAGCAGAGAAATGACTCATCCACTAAGGAAAGGAGGAGCTCTTTATTAAACTGTCACAAAAGTAACAGCATTATCATTTGATACAGGTCATTAGTGTCCTAACTGACTGAATCTCATCAACTTTCTTCATGCGTTGTGGGTCTGTAAACAGAAAGCTTCTTTATAAACTCCTACATTTCCAAATGGACTGTAAATCAGTAACTAAGCCCAGCTAATTTTTGTAGTAAAATATTGTATAGATATTAAATATCCTTTAGCATTAAAAATATTATTTGTTGTGTTGTGTAGTGTTCTCTGTAGCGTAGATTGTCTCCCTCAGCTTCCTCAGTTTCACATAATCCATGATTTTGTATTATTTTGCATCTATCAATGTCTTATCAAATCCTTTCATCCTTTCAAAACTATTAGTACTAAGTACATTTGCTCAATATGTGCTCCTTACTCATTATTCAAACTCAAACAAGTGGTGATTTTCATTACTCTAGTATTATTTCTTATTATATTGTTATTTATAGTTATAAGATTTCTTTATTGGTCTGGCAGTGCTTTGAACACAGAGAGTCGCCATGCTGTCACAGCACCTGCAGCTGAGCCTACACAGATGCGCTGAAAGGAGTGAAAGGGCCTCATTAGTGCCTGCAGTTACTGTTTCTATGTGTGTATATGGGAGGGGCGGTCATGTATTTAGCTCTTTAGGACAAATGTCCTCAAGATGATGGAAAAACATGAATATTATGACACTGAAAGAACATTAGATGTCTTTTTTAAACAAAATGTAAAATGTAAAAAAGATTTCCTTTTGGTTACTGAGATGCAGGGACGGCCAGTGGCACCTGCGTCCTTAGATTGCAAGGGGCCTCAGTGGGCCTCAGATCACAAAGCTCAGTGTGGCTCAAAGACAAGAGACTGTCCCATGCAGATGCAAAAAATTAGATGAATGAAAAGCCCACATATGTAATGACTAACACTATATTTAAAATAATTAAAAGCCCCTAACAAAATATGCAGAAATATAACTGCAGGAAAGACTTTGAAAATGAATCGTTTTGGTTACATTGCATTTTTCCAGCACTGTTCTTAGTGCACATAAGCAGTTAATTAAAGTGGACATATACAACATTTTCTTAATTAGGTACATTTTTATTCAAGTTCATTTATGTTGTTTATGTGGCTTTAGGTACCAAAAACTGTCAAAAAAAATCATTTTTATCTGACTATTTTATAACCTTTCTGTTTCCCTTAAACAGGCTGTTTTTGTTACTGTGCCTTTAAGACTGATATATGTATATGACATCTGTTCTGATTGGCTGCCCTGTATTGGACCTTGTTCAAAAAGAAGCCCAAGATAAAACACTCCTTTTTATTACATCAAGAGTGAGTTGGGATAAAATGCTGTAGACTGAATAGGCAGGTATATGTAAATAAGCTGGTTTTTGTGACATCACTAAAACACTGAATTCAAAATAAGATGTTGATTGTGTGAACTGGTGAGTGAGTGGTACATTTCAAAACTTTAACTTTTTGTTTCAAAAGGCACCATTTAAGCTATTTTATTGCAAAAAAAGTGAGGAGATCCAATTTTCTATGATATGGGTCCTTTAAAGTTATGTTACACATCTATTTTTGGTCATTTTTTGCAGGTGTAGGTGTAGGGAGGCCTCCAAAGACATTTGCACCTAGGGGCCTCGTGAGACCATGATCTGTCTCTGCTGAGAAGGCTTGGGTTGGATTCAGGTGTAGAGTGAGTTGACGAGTAAGATAGTAATGTTACTACAACAACGTCAGGAATACAAGCTTGTGTGCATGAGGTGCTCCAGAATAGCTCTGCTGATGTAAACAGAACAGCACATGTTAAGAGAAGCCATTAGTGTTGCTGCCTTCTGCACTGTGTACATTCTGCATCTGTGCGCCTCTGACAGCAGCGCCCTCTTCAGCATCTCCACCTCCATTCTCATTTTCCTCCTTTCCCTGCGCGTATATTCCGGGCCTCACATGACTCACCGCGTCTTTCGGATGTGAGAGGAGAAAAAGATGCGTTTCTCTGACACACTCAACAACGAGACTTGCTCTCACTTTATAATGAAACCCACTTTAATGGCCCATCTGTTTTTCACCCCTCTTCATTTCTGTCCTCCAGTTTCCGGTTGTGCTGCGGGCGTCCCCTGCTGGAGGCTGGGTGGTATGAGCGCGTGTGGCAGGAAGGCTCTGACCCTGCTGAGCAGCGTGTTCGCGGTGTGTGGGCTGGGGCTGCTGGGCATCGCCGTCAGCACCGACTACTGGCTCTACCTGGAGGAGGGGGTCATCCTGCCCCTCAACCAGACCACCGACATCCACACGTCCCTGCACTCCGGCCTCTGGAGGGTCTGCTTCCTGGCAGGTGAGTGTCTGTGTGTATGTGCAGAGTCAGTTTAGCCCTTTGGGGGCGAGTTAACATAATGGTACAGAACATAATGGTACAGTAATAACCCAGAAGTTACTGGGGGGCCCCTGGTGGCATGTGGCCCTAAGCAGCTGCTTATGTCGCTTATTAGGTAAAGCTGACACTGTATGTGTGTTAGAGGTTGCATAGACTAGTCGACCAGTCTCTATGTGTATACCCAATATTTAGTGCAGTGGGCAGGATCAGTACCCCTTTGGGTGCATACAGGTGGTCTCTGGTATTCCAGAGTTTACTACAGAAGTTGCACACAAAGTCATAACTTACAGTTGACAGTCGAAATACTTGTTTTCCCATAGTCTTCTATCATCTTTAAAACAGCTTCAGAATTTTGATTACATCATCATGTACCAATAATATTACATTTCACCTCCCCTCCTTACCACCCAAACCTATCATCAAGTGACAGTGTCAGTTAGCTGAGAGACCCTCTCTGTTACTGCATTGTTTATGTCATGGTATGGAAGAAAGACGCACTTTGATTTCTGATTCATGCTGACTTTAAACTCATTTTTCATGTTACCCAAGTTAATGAGTTGTGACAGATCACCAGTGGTGAACCCTAAATAATAGAGCTAGGCCTTCAGCTCGGACCATAAATGGCAAAAATGGTTCAAAATATGAAGAATATGATGTAAAAAAATATGAAAAATATGAAAATATGAAAAACACCCCTACGATAGTGCTAATTGTTTCGCAAATGCATATTTTGCATATGTAATTTCTCATTTTAAGCTAGCAGTAAGGTGATGCTGGTGCACATGAAGATGTTTTGGCCATTCTGTGTAAAAATGTTTAAGAAATGTAATGTATGGCGTGAGATGGTGAGATTAGACCTTGTTGTATGCGTCTCATGGTCAATGCGTGAGAGTCGGCTGCGCTGCTTTTTATGTTTTTATTTATTTATGAAACATTTTTGAATAACTTCTTGTAATAAGTGAATACATTTTGAAATGTTTCTGTTTAGCCACAGATTACAAGTGAAATAACAAGTGATAGGAGATCTGAAATGGCTAAATGTTGTATATGAGGACAGATTTTAAACAGACACAGTTTGATGCTCCTGCTTTGGTTAACAGCCTGTTCGTAGAGTTAGTCTTGGGTGGTTTTACAAAAGCTAGTTCAAAACTGATTGTAGCAACTCTACTAATTGCAACTATTAAACAGTGCTGCCCGAGGCTGAAACTAGAGCCTGTATTTGATTTTTAAGACAAATACCGATTTCAATACTTGAGGATTTAAAAATCTGATATATCGGCCAATGTTTTTTTTTCTTCTTCTTCTTCTTCTGAAATCATAAACAAAGATTTTCCCCAACATTTGTTACGTGTAGGTATTTAAGAGTCTTTACCAAGATAACATGACATAATGCAGTTTAAAAATACACTTGCATATTCAGGATTTTACGCTGTAGTGTCTTATTATATTTTAAAGAATGTAATGATTAACCAGTTTAATCGTCTGAAGAATCCAAACATAGCATGTTAAGGCTGTTACACACCGAAAGCGGCGCGAAAAAACGACATGGAAATGCGAAATGTTCGGACGGGATGTTTTTGCAATAAAACTTTACACACCGGACACAACGCAATATATAAATATATTTTTTGCAATTTCAGCAGATTGTTCGTGCAACACAAAAAGAAGGGCAGAATGTCTATATGAAGGTCTTTACTTCTCACAAAACAAACCAACAAACTGTGACAGTGTGAACAATTTGGAAAAGTGAAAGGAGAATATGAAGTTTCTCCACCTCATTTCAGGAGTTAAAACTTTCCCTCACAGCTCAGATCTTTCAGTCTGAGCTGAGTTTGGAGATGCAGCTCCACACGAGACGAAGCTCAAAAGGGCAGAGTGTCTTCAAGTGCAAGAGATCTCCTTCGTTCCTCACAGTTTGGAATGTAACTGCTGTACCATTGAAGGTGGAAAAGGGAAAACTGGAACAAGAAGCTCGCGAATACACTGACTTCAGCCTTGTCATTTAGGCAGAATAAGTTAAACACTACAGTTTAACCGTTCATTAACACTAGTTGCTTTCCACTGATAACCATAGCATTAGTTAGCTTTGTGGGTAACCTAATTTAGCAATGAATCGCATTTTTGCCTGACACTACCAGCTTTCACTTTACTGCAGCAAAAGCAGGCATGACTGACATAAATGTTGCCAGGCTTATTTGAACTAAGAGGTGAAGTGATGGGGATATTTTTATTATTATTAAGTAATGTATTTCAAGTGACAGTCATTAGCTTACCATGAACGCAGACGATCTCTGTCGTGGAGTAGTCTGCTTGACTCTGCTGATTGTTCGTAATATGGTTGAAGGATCTGTTGTGTGCCTCCCCATTTCTTTTTTTAGTTGTCATTTATCAGCCATTATAAATGCTGATACTGACTTATCATAAGTACCTCATATAGGCCAATAATATCAGCATCTGTCTATAGTTGACATTAATGGCCAAAACAGCTTGCCAGACTACAGATGAAAGCATGGTAAGCGGATAGTGCTGTCCTCCAAGATACTGTCATCTTCTGTAGCAGTTTTGGTCTCCTACTGCTGAAGCACCTGCTTCTTACACAGCATACAGCAGACTTTAGTCCAGCCACAACACCGTTGCCTCATCCTGCATCCTGTATCTCTTCAGGTGGAACTGCCCCCTTGCAGATCAAGCAGCTTGTGTTATTTAAAGGAATATGTCTTGCAAAAATTGTAATACATATATATATAAACACATATATATATATATATATATATATATATATATATATATATATATATATATATATATATATAGCAAGTGAAAGGTAGTGAGGACCAGTACTATACAAATGTGTGCAAAAATGTTGGCACTTCTTGGCAAATAACGTTTTGTTGCTTTTCTGAGTGAAAATAATGCAAAGTTAATGTTTACTTGCAGAATTTAACATATGAGGGGAAAACACATAAACTGCGCCCTGTGCAAACGTTATGGCACGTTTTACGTTTTATATGTTATTTTTTCCCAGTATATTAAACTCAGCAGATAAATAGAAATGCGGTTTTTAAGTGTGTTATCTGTAGATTTATTAACCCATTTTCACTCAGACAATCGGCAAAAAAAGGAAACATTTTGGTTTTAAAGTAGAAAATTGAAAGAGTAGCAAAATCAGAGTGTTTCTGATGTGGAAAGAAGAAAGAATAGCAGGGTTAGGCAGCCCTTTGTGTGAACGCTGTTCTCTTCATCAGCTTTTCAATCATCTAAGATTTAGTGATTGTAGCCCAATCGTTTGAGGGATCGTGAAATCATTGGGTTTCTATGGATGAAGAGATGAAAGTTTGATGATAGACGAATGCTGTCAGTGGAGCTACACGTGGAGTTTTCTATGATATGTGTTTCTGTGGAATGATGAAGGTAGGCTTGTCATGAAATTTTAGCTGATGATTATTTGCATCTGTGATGTGTAAAGGGCCCAAATTGGCTGTTTAGCTGTCTTGCTTGCAAGCTAGTGATACCAAGTAACTACCTGATGACAAAACAAAAAAAACCTGAGCTCAAATAAACAAACATTACTCAGCGTTTTTGTACTAAATTTTCTCTTGCACCAGTCAGAAGTTAGAATGTTGTGTGATAGCTTTAGCTTCTAAACTATAGGTAAAGCAAGAAGGCATTGGAATGTAAATAGAAGTTAAAAATGTTTCTTCCTTCTCCTGTAAAGTTACCATTTTTGAGTACAAGTTTTGTTTAATACATGTTTCCTTGTTGAGAAGTTACTAAAGTTGGTAGCTCTCTCTCTAAAGCTGCCTGCTAGGCTGAGAGGATTGATTGTGTTCAGCCAGAGCTGATCAGCCTGGATTTTATAAAGCTGCCAGGTTTGGTGCCTGGTTGGCTAAAAGAGCCAGTTCTTCACAGAGAAGTAATCTTCTGTTGTGCCAGAAGAAAAAAAGAAGAAGAAGAAGAAAGAAGGGAAACGGTGATGGTGTGTGTGGTGAAACAGAACAAAATTTGGCATGTGTATGGAGTGTGAAAATAAGTGGCTGTGTTCCACAGAAGCAAAGATTTGAAAACAAGAGTCCGAGTATTACCAGTGAGTCAGAAAGAGAACAAAGCAAGAGAGAATAACAAGTATTGGTTAATAAAAGCTGCACAACAGAAGAAAAGTGGAAAGGGACTAGTTTTGCTTTTCATTTCACTTTCCGTTCTTTCAGTTAATGCTCATTTTTGAATATACTTGTCAAGTACTTTCCTCAAGAGGGTTCTTGTTCTCATAGAGACCAACTGATTTCTTAAGTTTCCAAAGGTAAAATAAAAAGAAGTAATAAAAGCTGTGCATAACAAAAAATGTAGCACAAAAATTCAGATCTGTAGAAATATTATCAAAGCTGGTTTTAATTGCAAAAAAAGTTTGGGGTTTTTGTGACTTGTTCCACATTGCAACAACTAAAGTGCACCAAATTACACACCTACATGTTCTTTGACAATCGATTATTTTTAGTTTTACAATCAATTATTCAGAAATGTCACAAAAAACAACTCATTTACATATATCCATCAATTCAGCATACAGCAGTTTAGCTCCACCCACTCACACTGAGGTTCTAAGGAATGTTTCATCTCCAAATGCTTTTGGAGTGAGGTGTGCAGGGCAGCCAATCAGAACAGAGATTGTTTACATATACCACTAACGAACAAAAGAACAGTAACAAAAACAGTCTAATTCTAAGAGATAAAAAGAGGTTGGAAAATTGTCAAAAAAAATGAATTATAACCATTTTTGGTTGGTTATAAGTGTGCCTGGAGGGAAAATATCTTGCTCATTATGTTACATGAAATAGAGATGCTTAATGTCTTCATGCATCACAATCAAAGCCTTAACAATAAACCTTTCTTGATCTCTCTTCTTCATTATTTTTTTGGCTTGAATTTGAATTTAACCAGTTAGATTGCTGATGCCTGACCCCATGTATCATTCAGCGTTCCATATGCCAAAGTCAGATTTGGGATGTTCTGATGTTGAATTCCCCCATTTGGTGTCTTAGAAGCAGATTATCAGTTGTGTAGTGCACAACCTGTTAAAACCAACTGAACTAAATAAAGTTTGATTGGTCCACACCACACAGTAGGTGTGAAAACGCCCCGATACATCTTTCCTTTTTAAAAGATATATTTAAAAAATAAAGGTTTCTCAGTGGTTCTTGTCTTGAACATAGAGTTCTAGACAAAGCCTTAAGTGGTAAAGAGCCTATACTTTATGTGGAGGTTCTTTAAAATGTAAGGTGTGTCACACTCACACGTCATTTACAAACATATTCCTTTAAAGAACCATCCACTGAAATCTTATTTAGGAACCCAAAAGTGGTTCTATAGCAGAAGTGTTCAAATCTGGACCTTCAGTTTCCTGTCCAGGATTTTGTAGTCACCAGTTGGTACAACAGGGAGTGGCCAATCAGTCACATCAACAATTCAGTTAAGTACCAGTGAAAACACAATGCAGGACTGGAAACTTGATCTAAGGTCTGGATTTGCTCTCTGCTCTATGGGATCACTCTAAAGCAGTGACCAGTTCTCAGGGCCCCTAAGATGGTCTACATTTTTGCTCTATCCTGTGTGTTGGAAATTGGGGTAGAACAAAAAAGATGGACCTTCTGGCCCAGAGGACCATTTTGAAAACCACTGCTCCACAGAACCGTTTTTGGCACAGTTATTTAGGTTGAAATTTTACCACATTTTTACCAAAGTTGGTAGCTCTTAAGCTGCCTTACAGTTAATGATCTTCTGTTTCATGTCTGTAGCACCACCTTTGAAGATTTAGGAGAGAATTCTTGATACTGAATAGAGCCAACTGCTTGCTTGAGTTTCTAAAAGGCAAAGCGGAAATATGGAAGCTGCAAATTAAACAGCATGTGAAGTATAAGCACAAAAATGGTGTGGGTTTATGAAGACATACATAACCATAGTGAACTTATACCACCCCCAACCTTTACGTGCTTTTGTCTTTGTCTGCCCAGAGGCTCTAGAGCTATTAGGAAGGCTACAATGGTGCTCTTATGTCTTTGTTCTAATCTTCATCCCTTGACATTGCCATGGTAATAGTTGTCAGGGAGAGCAGGATTTAAAGAGTTTGTCTGAAGAAGATCCATGATGAAGGCTTGTCTCCTGTAGCCCCACAGGAGAAGGATTTTAACACGTGTGTGCACACATCTTCTTAAATCCATCCATGTGCAGATAGACGGATGGCGACCATTTAAATAGATTTCGCAGTCACGTACAGAACCCACATGAATCTCTAAATGAATGTGGCACATGGGCACATGCACATTAGTCTGCTCTCTGGCATATGCTGCTGTGAGGAATGTATAAATGTGCTTGTGTGGGTGAGTGGTTGGACCTGCTTTGGTTGGAAGTCACACGGTGGCACTTACAGGTCAGCATAGGCTGTTAACGTACTGTATTGCTCACTGCTATTTCACGCTAGTGCTTTATTTTCCAGCTGTTGTCAGCCACAGCCACGCTGTACACAGGCAAAGCTTTTCTCTTTCTAGCAACTCCTTCTCTCACCCAGCTCACAGCTCCTACTCTTGGTGCAAATACCCTACCGGGGACAGTTCCTAGCCTCCCCTCTCCAATCAGAGTTCATAGCAAAATGAACCAAGTGCAACAAATGCTGGAGAACACATACCCTAAAACTAACATGCCAAAACATTTCTTGAACACACTACAGTACTTTGATTTTCTTTAAATGTGAACTAATAGGAAGTTACACTGTAAATGTAATATAGATCGTCTGAATTCGTGTTTTCTTTTTAAATTGGGCACATTATATACACTGACTGGCCACTTCAGTGATTATACCTCCTTGTATCTTCGCTCACTTCTCCATTTTATCAGCTCCACATACGGTATAGGTGCACGTTGTAGTTTTACAATTACAGATTTTAGTCCATCTGTTTCTCTGCATACTTTGTTTCGCCCCCTTTCACCCTGCTCTTCAGTGGTCAGAACCCTCACAGGACCACCACAGATTTCTTTGGACCTTTTTTTATTGGTCCATTTTACATGACACTTTGACACAATATAGGGCCAAGGGCAACTGTAATAAGTAAAAATGATAAAAATGGAGACAGTGATGATATGGAAATCCCCTTTTACTCTCTCCAGTTTCTTTTTCACAGTTTCTCCCTGCTCATGCTGGTGTTTAGTTTAGGGTGAGTTGCTGAGGGATATCAGGCAAGCATGCTTATTGGAATATTCTGACCAAGAAACTGAGCAATGTTTTATCACATTTCAGTCTTGTTTTTTTCATTCAAGCATTGCTGGATGTTTAATATAACACTTACATAACACTTTTTGTATCCTAGAAACATTTTTAACATTTCACACTGTGTTTCCCAGGACATCATCATAATTCAAATGAATTTTGATTCATACCAAAATACCTGAATCAAAATTCATTTAAACATACACTGAAAACACATGGATGAATTATTTACACAGTAGTGGAATATAGACAATAAAAATATATAGTCATGATAAATATAATCAATATAAACAAATATAATAATATAATGGTATAAATATACATATATAGACAATATAAATGAAATAATAAATAATCAATTCTAACCTTCCAAAATCAATAGAATGTTAATGGAATCAGTGGAATGCATCGTACTCCTCAATTCTTCGGGTAGAAGAACTGCTTTGGGTTATTTGGTTGTTTTAAATGTATGCCACACGTGTGTGTGTGTGTCAGCAAGTGTGAGTGAGGAGACTGACGAGTGTCTGATGACTGGGTGAGTAAGTACGTTTCTAGTGTGATCTCTCCATCGTGGTCCTGTGAGTTTCATTACATATTGTGTGCATCAGCATCAAAGAGTCATTACTCTGATGTCAAAGTGATATTTCTCTCTCTCTCTCTCTCTCTCTCTCTCTATCTCTCTCTCTCTCTCTCTCTCTAGGAGAGGAGACGGGCCGCTGCTTCACTATAGAATATGTCATGCCCATGAGTGTCCAGCTGACCAGTGAATCTACAGTCAGTGTCCTGAGTAAGTTCTTTTGTCTGTCTAAGCCCTTTGCTGTGGAATATACAGTATTACCGTGAGTAGAATCCAATGGAGTAGAATCCAGCCTTGCTAGATGGTCATGGGCAAGGTGTATTGTAGTTCCTCAGGTCTGAGTTTTATTTGATTGAAGTTCTAAAATGCATAGTTTCAAATCTGATTGTCTGATTGTCAAAACCGATGTATAAAATCTCTATATAGTGTATATAAAACATTAATTATATTGCTTTGTGATGTAACAACCTACTTTGTGTTAAATTGGAATTCCACTGATCTTTTTTTTAATTTCTGCATAATTAAAACATTAAAATGTAAACAAAATTACAGCAAGAAGTTTGATGTGAAATACTCCATTCTAGAGAAAGTTGTTCACAGTGGTGGTGATAGGAACCAGACATCTCAAGAGCTTAATTCCCTCACAGAAAGCTATTACATGAAATGTTTATGAATAAACTGACCATAATGAATCATTTCACTCATTTCAAAAATCAGTGGAATTCTGCTTTAATGAACTGCTGTGCTGAGCATCGTGCCTAACACCATCTAACTGTGATAAAACACGTGTTTAACACATTACACATGATTTTGCTTTATTATAGCATGTCTGACTTTAAGAAGAGGATACTAAACTTTTAATGTTAGAGATATAAGGTCTTACGGCTGTTTGAGGCAGAAACAGGACGGAATAGGAGCAGCATGATGAGTAATAGTGTGTTACATAGTGCCCTCTTGTGGTCAGAACATGTAGTTGCATTTGAGACACTGAACTGGTTCCAAATAAGTCTAGCCTCTTTTAGGCTTCTTGCAACAACCATAACTCATCAACCATTTGTAATCTTCTAATCTAATCTTCCATTGTTGCTAAACACACTACATGTTCTATTTCAGTAACCACACCATGAACAAACAAACTAATATGATTCTAGACTCAACAGAATTACAATCCATTGTAATCCCTGCTTGTTAGTATGTGAAAATAAACTAAAACGAGGAGAATTCACACAGGAAGTGTGATATCCCATGATGTATTAGATTAATTTCCGGCTTAAAATTTGAATACTTAAATAAATGGATAGACCTCCTGCCCTTTATCTGCCATCTGCAAATCCTGTCCCTGCTGTAACATGACTAATCAATTGCAATATTACATCAGCACATCAGAGTGTTTCCTGCTCACACTGGCCGCTTATGAGTCATCTCTTTTCTGTATTACACTCACCTTCACTCTGCAGAATAAAGCCTCCTCAGACTCGCTACTGATTTCAATCTCAAGCCCTGCATCCTTAATAATTTTCCATTCTGCTGAGAGAAGGCCGGATATTGGCAGGTGCTTCACAGCACGATATGAAACACAGTACAGAAGTCAGAATGTTATATAATACACATAAGAAAAAGAACACTGCTCTAAAAAGGGCAGGCTACACAAGGCTATAAAGCAGTTTTTATTTTAAGGCGAAAAATTGCATGAACAAAATATTAGTTTTTTCTTAAAGTACTACAAAAGTGTGATATGTGGTGTAGTATTATAAAGAATTGAATCGTGTTTAAATGGTGGGCTGGTATGGATGATCAATATGGCAAAAATACAGCATCACAATACCTGAACACAGTTTCATGTTACATGATATTAGTTTTTCTGACATTTGATAAGTTGGAACACACATGAAAGGAAACATTTAAAAACTAGAAAAGTGCATTTCCTAAAGAAAATGTAGAATAACTGCACAGCTTAAGCAGTTGCTAGGTGGTTCCTCGGGTGTTACCAGACAGTTACCATGGTATTTTATGTGGTGGCAAAGGTGTTAATAAATGGTTGCTATGGTTGCCAGGGTGTTGCTAGGTGGCTGCCAAGGTGTTGCCAGGCGGTTGCTATGGTATCCTAGGTGGTTGCAAGGATGTTGCTACATGGTTGCTGTGGTTCCCCACATGTTTAATAGGGTGTAACAAATGGACTTCAACATGACATAATTTGGGTGCACAAACTTTGGTGCTCCATTCATTCCTACAGGAATAAAGAAGTCTAAAAACATACACCCAATCAAAAAGCTGTATACAAGCACACCATTCCTGGTTCAGACCGAACTTTCCAGAGTTGAAACAGTGTCAGTATCTTAAACTGCGGGACGAGTTAGAAGAGGAGATGACCACAGCTGGACCACAAAGCAACCTCTTGATCTCTTCAGGCCAACAGTGAGGGGGAGCAAGTGAGCCATTGTGGGCCGTTAGTGGCACTGTGTAATAAACATCAATGAAAAAGTAAATGACTTCATAAGTATAACAAAATCTAAAATGTTTTAAAATGGTAATCAGTACTTTTACAAGCTATGCGACAAAAGCGTACAAAGCAGCTTCAACTGAAACTAAAATGCATTGCAGAAACAATCTGCTTAATTTGCCACCTTCCAGCCTGGCTTCTGGTACAACACAAGCTTGTTCTAGTCTAATCTGCTGATATTTTATGCTTAATGATACACAGTGCAGATTTCAAGTAGCCACTCGAACATTACTGTGTTGAAAATCGCCTAAAAATAAGTTAAGTTAAAGAGTATGGGTTTAAATGCTTTTTAGTGATAAATATGTGCACCTTAAGATGGAAATGTCCTGTGCTAAAATATGGTGTCCATGCACTGGTAAGTCACCCTGTAAAGCCTGAAATAATGGGCTTGTTTGAAATGAGCTGCACATTAGCAGTCAGTGATAGTAGCCCATTGCAGCTGGGGGAGGAGTCGAGAAGCCGAACAGTTTTCCTGGGCAGCAATTCCAACAGCTTTCCAATGTATTCCAACAGCTTTCACGATGTTCACATGCAGTATATAAGTTTTATTTGAAGAATATACATTTCACATATGAATATAATAACCACAAACACTACACATTTTAATAGGTTGCGTACAGTATTCAACACAGTTTGCGAGCACATGGTTGTCAGTGGAGCTTCTAGCCAATCAGGATTAAGCTTTGTCATCATCAAACCACTTTGTGCAGTATTAATGTCACAAGCACAGGCTCATAAAGAAGCTTTCGCTGTTTAGGCCACGAATGCAAAATCAACATTACACTGATGAAGATAGGATGATAACAGTGAAAAATTCCCTTACATTCTTGGAGGACACCAATTGAGAACATAATTGGACTTGCTCTCTCTGGTTGGGTAGGATGGTCCTTCCTCTTGACCCATCAGTCAGTATGATGCTAGCCAGTGTGTGCATCTTTAGCTGACATAACAGAATTGCTGTTTTGCATTCTAAATGGCTAAATTTGTGGGAAAAAATGGGTAGAAATCTATCATGATAGCAATAAATGTCATATTGTCCATATTATACTGGTCAAAAGTGTTTTTTGTACTTCTCTTGATTAAGTACTGCAGACTAGCAGCAACAGTAAGTGGCATAAATATTTTCTTAGAAATGTATTCATCATTTTGCAAAGAATGACTCAGAAAAATGAAGCTATACTGTACAAAGCCATAAAATGTAGGGGTCATTTTCTTGGTAATAATGTTCATTATTGTTTGCTTTATTACAGAAATGATCCGCTCAGCCACACCCTTCCCTCTGGTCAGCCTCTTCTTCATGTTTATCGGCTTCGTGCTTAATAATATTGGGCATGTCCGCCCCCACCGCACCATACTGGCCTTCGTTTCTGGAATCTTCTTCATTCTGTCAGGTACTGCTCTGCTTGATCATCAGAAATGGAACGTGTCTGCCCGTTTTTGTATTTCTTACCTCTCTGCCTTTTTTTCGTTTGCTTGCTCTCAGGTCTTTCTCTGGTGGTGGGTCTTGTTCTCTACATCTCCAGCATCAATGATGAAGTGCTGAACAGGACTAAAAGTAACGAGGCCTATTTCAGTTACAAGTATGGCTGGTCTTTTGCCTTTGCTGCCATCTCCTTTCTGCTGACTGAGGTGAGTGTCTGTGCCATGGCGGTGCTTTTTGCCTTGTATGAGTTATTGCTTATGGAATTTCTTAATCTCTGGAACCAGCAAGTCTTTCAAAGAAACCAGCCTTAAATATGAGCCTTACTGAGCCTTTAATCCTGTCAGAGAGAAAGTATGTGGCTTCAGTATAGAAGAAAGACTACTGACCATTTAGGGGTTCAAGAGCTGAATGCTATTGAAAGAATAGTTTTGGATGCAGCAGTTGCTTAAAGGGGAATTCCACCATTTTTTCAAAATTTCTACATAATTCAGTTGTTGAGATGTACACAGAGAAATTCAATGGTGGAACCAGGAGGTCACAGTGTCTACAATTCAAATGTAACCATTGCATTTGACCATGCAAAATGACCAATTAACCTACACGTGTTTTTAGAGTTTTATATGTAATGCTGAAAATTGATAAAATAGTGGTAAATTTGAAAAAAATATGTTTTTTTTCCCTTACAACACCTGGCATGTACCTATCTGCCATGAATGTGTTTAAAAAAAACACATAAAAAAAAACACACTTGTACTTAAACTATTGATAAACATTCGCTCAAACATCAGGCAGCGTATTTGTACCTTGTTTACTAAATTTCTATGATGTAGTGTTCTTGAGGCATTTAACACTTGGACTGAGCTGTGAGGCTCACAGCATCTGGTTCCTGTCACCACCTGTGAGCAATTCTGGGTCGGTAAGATTTTCTAGAATGGCACATTTCACATCAAACCACTGTGAATGACTTTGTTTACTTCTCAGCGATTTAACTACACAGCAATTTTGGTGGAATTCTTCTGTAAAGGAATGGTCCAGCTTTTTCTTCAAAGTTCCTGTTTTCAGAAATGATTTTATGCTTCAAAAATGCCCCCCTTAGCCTTCCACAGGGCATAGAACAAAACAGCAAAACTACTCTTAGGAGCTATGCACAGCTAATGCACTGTTACAAAATTTCCCATAGTTGTGCTATTACTTATATCCCATGGTAATCTTATAACTCATCTGATTCTGTTTTACTCCACCATGCTCAGTTGTGGCACATTTCTGTATGTCAGTTATTTCCACTTTCCTTCCTCTAAGGCACTGGTAACTGAAGTAAATATGTCCAAATATATGCAAAAAAAATATGCATTTACACAATCCAATGATCAGTGGTCAAACTCAAGATGTTGTTGACGACGTCAGTCATGGGAAAAAAGTCAGTGTCAATTGCTTAAAAACAAAGGCTGTCTATAATATGTACATTCCGACAGCTTGCAATACCTTAAAGGAAGCGTTGGTGGTGATATGGCTTCTATTTTTTTGCACCGTAAAAGAAGAAATGACACAAACAGAACCATCCCTCTCTCCCATTTTCAAATGTCATCATATTTTTACACATACAAGAAATATCAGTGCTATATTATGATTAATAGTACTACCCTTATTACAGAGATTTTTTTAATCATCAGATGAATTCAGACGTTTTTTTTTTTTCTTTTCAAAAACTCTTTATATTCAAAATTGTTCCGTATGGATTTACAACATTTTAAAATGCACACTTTCACTGAATTAGTGTATTTATTGAGCAGTAATTGTTTTAAATTATTCATATAATTGTTTGTTCTAATTTTAATCTAACTCATGTGCCTCTGATCGTTTCTTCATTGGTTTAACCGGCATTTATTAAGCACGGACCTGATCTCACCTCCTTCAACACGAAAGATCAGTAACAGTCTATAGCTGCTGATCCTATATTAGATAAACAGGCTGCTTCTCTTCAGAGCCAGAGCTTGTGTCTCTTCTCTCCATTCAGAGTGCCGGAGTCATGTCCGTCTACCTGTTCATGAAGCGCTACACGGCTGAGGAGATGTACCAGCCTCACCCGAGCTTCTACCGGCCGCGCCTCAGCAACTGCTCAGATTACTCGGGCCAGTTCCTGCACCCGGAGGCGTGGACACGTGGCCGCAGCCCTTCAGACATCTCCAGCGAAGCCTCGCTCCAGATGAATGCCAGCTACCCCGCCCTGCTCAAATGCCCCGAATACGACCAGGTCTCCTCCTCGCCCTGCTGAGGGCGGACAGACAGTCGGACAGAAAGACAGAAGCAGGTTCTAAACTAAGAGTCTTAAGGTTTCTTTCTAGAGGAAGAATGAGCTGATGGTATGAATGTGTGCGACTTCTGCTTTTTCCTTCTTGTTTGAAAGTGGTGGTGATGTGCTGAGCTGAGCCTGAGAGCCGTTTTGCTGCAGTGGACCCTGTTCACCAGCAGGGGGCAGTAATCATTTACAGTGTCACTTTAACAGTGGTAGCCGACCACAATGGAAGGGCCTGTAAAATCAGATTATGTATGAAAAGATTATTTATTGGATGTATTATACATATTTATATTCCTATACGATGTATAATAATAAAGAAAAGGCAGCTTTATAAATGAAAAACTATCTATTCTGAGTGTAGCTAAGTGGCAGCAATAGAGCGTCAAAAAAGAATCCTTAGAAGACACACATGGTAATTATGAGTCACATGAGTCTCATCACCAGTATTCACGCCTATAGAGCATAATACTGACTATATAGTGTTGAATAGAAGATGCTGATGTAACTGTAAGTAACATTTCATATTAAGGAAAAAAGTGACATTTACAGTCCAGTATTGTAAGCCTTGTGTGGTAAAGTCTGATTGTTCTTAATGAAATCCACCCTATACGACATCATATACCTCTACAGCAATGCTTTCACAGGAACGTATGTGTCATTAAATCAGGGCAGTGTGGAGCAAATCTTTGGGTACAAGATTCTTTTTGCATAATTTACATTTTTTAACGGTTATTTATTTATTTATTGATTGATTTGCAAGAAATCAGTTTATTATTACATCATCCCCAGTTTGGGGATCAGACAGAAATGTAAATATCATACATTGCTTTGTTGATGACAGTTCATAGTTCGTATGTGATTTACTTTGGTAAATGTATTGGGTAAACAAAATCGACTGCTTTTGTAATGTCTGCTTTTCAGGTATTTAGGTGCCGCTGAATGTAATGTGTAAAATGTAGCCTACTAACTTTTGAATAAAAAAAATAACAAGGCATAACTGTGAAAGGCTCATTTTGTGCTGTGAGCTCTCTTCAATATTTAAAAACGTGTTTATTTTAGTTCTAAAATTCACAGAACTAGTAAATGCTTTTCACATAGAGCACTGGTTTACTACTGTCAATCAAAAAAAGAAAAAAAAAGAAACACCTGCCTTGTAGGTCTGCCTTGCTGGTGGGCAATTAAAGACTGAGCAGGTACCTGATCTGTTGATGCACTGTTTGCATTTGCCATCCTCTAGTGCTCTCCACCAAAAAAGATCATTCATCCAGTTAGACACTAGGGGAGCCTTTTCCCTACTAAGGATATCAAATGCTGCATAGTCCCAGTGCTTTGTGGGCTATGGGATGAAATCTGGGGTTCCAAATCTGGGGTTTGTCCACTCTATTAGACACACCTACACTGTTAGTAAACCTTGTTTTGTAGCTCATGTTTTTTCACACACAATTTGTGGTAGCTCCAGTTCTTCATCAGTGGTCATTTTCTGACCACAGGACCACTGTTGGCGGGATATTTGTAGTTGGTGGACTTTTCTCACTATTCTCAACCCAGCAGTGACACTGACATTTTAACGCCAGAAATGCTGCTTTTCCTGATACACTTTTATCAGTGCAACACACACTACCATGTCAGTTTCACTGTGCTAAGAATGGTCCACCGTCCAAATAAGATTTTGTGAACTAAGGTCCTATGATGGCTCCTTTCCACTGATGGATGGGGTAGAGGGCTGCTGACAAATGGTGCAGATGGGCTACAGTCAGTAATTGTACACCTGCAAAGTACAACTGAATGGTATGTGTACTTGATAAAATGGCCAATGAGCTTGTGGTCTTTTTGTTCACCTGTATGTAGTGGTGCTGTAAGATTAGTAGATCTCATAAAGTGAGTGTGAGAACAAAGTAGGTGTTTCTCACAGCCAGTATGTGAGTATATACCTCATGCAAAGTGAGACGTCTGTAAATTATGTACAAACCTAGGGGGCGCTCTCTACTAAGCCAGAAAAAAAGAGATAAATTATTCAGTCAGACACTAGGGGAGCCTTTTCCCAACTAAAGACATCAAACACTGCATAGGCCCATTGCATCATGGGTTGTAGGATTAAATCTGGAGTTCCTCATGGTGTATAATGTGAAGAGGGTTCATGATGAAAGATGAAGGCATCTCTCAAAGTCAAGGTTAAAGCCTTATCAATGCTTTATGTTATACATCATGTACAATATGACCAATAGCTTTTACAGACATATAAAAATTAATGTGTAGCCTCACAGCTCAGTCCAAGATAATATTCTGCCAGAGGCTAGAGCTCTTATTTTACAAATACATATAAATCACTACTGGATAAACAAGAAAATATAATAATAATAATAATAATAATAATAATAATTAGTTCTGAATCACATCATCATCATCAAGGTTTCTGTTGAAAAATAAAATGTCTCCTGACAGGATTATAATACTTTCACAGGTTTTCCTGAACTTCTGCATAATTCAATAATTGAAATGTAAACAAAGTCATTCAGAGTTGTTTGATGTGAAATGGTCCATTGTAGCGTGGAGCCATATTATTTACTATCCTACTACTGTAAAACAATGTCTCAGGCATTAGGTAGTGTATCCATTATGATTTGATGTAATAACTCTCTGTGAGGGAGCTTGTAGAGTCACTAAACGCCTGGACTTCTGGTTCCTATCATCTCTGCTTTGAACAACTCTAACTCTGTAAATTTCTCTTGGATGGAGCACTTCACATCAAACCACTCTGAACGACTTTATTTACATCTCACTAATTTAACTGTGCAGAAATTTTGCAAAATTGGTGGAATTCCCCTTTAATGTATAAGGCTGTCGAGGAGAAAGCCCTCAACCAAAGCTGATGCGTGATGTAACCAGTAGATTTATATGCAATAAATCATACATACACAATAAAGATGACAACTGTTTACATTATTTACACATAACTTAAGTCTATAGTTTCAACAATTACAGGTAGAATATAACAATTTCACAGAGAAAATAAATATAAAAAGCTGTTCAATTTTGTAAAGGGAACATAAAAGCAAGCAAGCAGAAAAACAAAAGAACTGCATTCGCATCACATCAACACATTGACCCACTGAAAAGACTCTTCTACACTAAGGCCTGCGCATCAGACATCTCGGAGTGAAAATGCTGATTTAGGATCAGCTCCCGTTAGTCCATATAATTGGACTAACAAAAGTAAAAACTAACCCCAGTTCAGCACTCTTCCTCAGAGATGTGCGATACGTAAGACCTGTCAGTTCTAAAGACTGAACAGAAAGCTTAAATTGACTGGTACCTGCCGATTCACAACAAAAAGTTAAAAGGGTGCACGGCATATATTTTTTCTACTATTCTGTCTGAAAATTTAAGAAATCAGTCCAGCTGACTCAAGACTGCCACGTATTGTTAAAATAGCATTCCCACATTTACATCACACTCATTTCAAGCTTTTTTTCTGCTGTTTTACTTCAACAAATGTCACAGGCAGGGACTCATTCAGCACCAGAGTGAGATAATAGTCTAAGTCATTTAGAGCTACAATGGCATTACAATATAGGTCTGCATGATTGGACCAGTAGGGAGTGCACTGTAGCTCTTAGCCTCGTCATTAAAGGAGCACTTTGCGGAAAAAAATGCCAACACGGCCTAATAACAGATGAAAGCTACTGAGCATGAGCTATAAGGATCTTATTTCCATGACTCTAACTGGCCACTACAAGCTTTCATTTTCTACCAACTGTGTCAGCATTTTTTGAAAGAGCATTGCTGTAATTGCTGAAAATGGTTTGACGTCACACCAGGCTTTCATGGTTGAAGTCTGTGAAGTGTAAGTGAAGTCCCAACGTGTGTCCTCTGGGCTCTCACGTGCGCCATCCACGTATGCAAACTGACATCCATGCAAGTGCAAAGAGAACAACGACAGCCGCATTTGGGTTTTTTTTCAGCCCTGACACAAGAAGGGTAAAATGTACAGAAATAAGGAGAGGTGGGTTAAAAGAGATAAAAAGGGATTTGGGGTCACATGAGCTCACGTGACAGTTTTAGTGTCCCAGGTTGACGACATCAGCACACGTGCAGCAGCTGTTCAAGAGCATCTTGCAGGACAGCGCGTACGTGTGCATGTGTGTGCCGTCCTACTGGCGGTCCAGCGGCGCCCTCACTTCTTGTTGGCGATGCGTCGTTTCCTGGTGGCAAGCATGTCATAGAAGGGATCCCTGCTGATGCTGGCTCTGAGGAAACCAATTAAAAGAGAACCAAATAAATTATGTGCAGTAGGGAGGGGAGGGCAGACTTCAGCATCTTTGATATGGAAATACAAGCGCATTTCTACAAACCCCTGCCTTAACTAGATCAAAAAAGAGAGAGCGAGAGGGAGAGAAGTTTGTTCAATGACCCAGTTTGGTTTCCATGGTTTCCCAAGCTAGGTCCCCGCCCCCTTTTTCTGGAGCCCACTCCGAGTTTCGAGTCGGAACAACTCCCTCTAACGTTCCGCATTCCAGCTGTGTTCTAGGTGCTCCCAAAAAAACATGCCTTTTTGGATCCCAGCTTAAAATAGGCAAACACCTGGTCATGTCCAAGCTTTCCCCTAGTGGTTCCCAATAGTGGACCTGGAGAACTCCTGTCCTGCATAATTGGGTGCTTTCTCTGCTGACCCAACTAATCAGCTCATTAACAAACCCTTCCTGAGTTAAAGTAGGTTTGTTAGATCAGAAAAACTCCGAAATATGCAGGGCAGGACCAGGACAGTGAACCTTTGGCCTAGAACCATCCTGACTAGCAGAAGTGTGTCCTACAAAGGCACTCTGGTGGTGTTAGAGCACTGTCTTCATGGGTGAAAATCCTATTAAGAGCTAGTATCACAATGAGAGTGAGCTCAACCTCCTACTGCGGAAACTCTCTAAAAGCCCCTCTTTTCTTTGGAGGATGGCTTGGTCGAGGGGACAGTTTCTCTCACTCTCTTTCAAACCAGGGCTACAATATATTGTTTAATAGTTATCGTAATTCTGGCCAAGGCTTGCAATATGTAAACAAGCCCTCAAACAAATCACAAAATGTTAAATTATTTATCCAGTTGTCCAATTTTCAGTTCTGACACGTGAAAGATGTTCTTTCTGAGGGTATTTAGAATAATTTAAGTGTTCACATCATCTAATAACCATGTCACAGTAATTGTTAACCAACAGGGTTACCAACACCTTCTCTTCCAAAGAAAAAAAGCATCAAAATTAGGTTTCATTTTTGGCATCCACGTTGTTTTACTTGCAATTAATAAATGACTAGATTTGCTGATTATTTTGAGCTTCTGTAGACCCTTTTTAGCATCATTAGCATTACCAAAAGTTATAAAAAAATACGAAATGGCTAAGATGGGGCTGATTTACCTCTAGCCAACCTGTAGATTCACTAAACCAATCTATGGTTCTGTGTGAAGTTCACATTGTATGGTAGCAGTATTATGTTAGCACCCTGCTAACAGGGGTGCTATATAAGGCTGAAAGATCAAATTTATTTTCCAATTTAAAAGAGAGGAATTATCAAACTGCATGAGATGCAATTTTTAATTTATAGTCTATATTATAAACACAAGTTTTAGAAACCTGGACCTTAATTTATGAAAATAATTGCAATGTAAATCACAATCATAATATTGGTCAGAAAAATCACAATTAGATATTTTCCCCAAGTTGTTCAGCCCTAGTGCTATAGCAGCTGTACACAGACATTTGGAGCTTATAACTGCTTGTAACAGACATTTAAATGAGATATATTTGATAATTTGAGTATTGCTGTTTTACAGAGTTCTTGAGTAAAGATTTGAACAAAAATCTTGTCATGTTCTGCTTAGCGTTTCCTTTAGCTAATGTTGCACTTCAACATTTAAACATTTAAATGCAACCTGTTAGCTAGACTGCTCACTTCATTGTTTTTTACTGTAGTTTATAGGGGCTCGCAAGTGTAATGATACTGTATATGTAGGTGTTTTGTAACCCTCCCATCTAATAATATGACCTGCTGTCACTGATAATCGCAATATCAAACCTTCTCTGAGGGAAATAAAGCCATATCACATTGTTTTGGCTTGTGCTCTGCTCAGTGATGAAGCTGGAGGAGAGGGATTGTGTTTGTGAGAGCTATGCCACGTGCCACGTGCCTTTGAAAACGCTTAGGAAAAAGCTGCTTCGTCCCTCTGAGCTTTACACACTGCCTTTGGGCACGATGATGAGATGCTGCAGCATCACACCTATTACCTCTCAATGAGTTCAAAGCCACATTTACCTCTCAATGAGTTCAAAGGCACATTTGTGGTTCACTGCTGACCGTTTCCTGAGCACTTTTGCTTCAAAAGGGAACAAAAAAGCACTTCTTTTCTCTCCCTGGTGTCAAAATCATGATTAAAGATAAGGCATATGATGACCGTGTCCATCCCTAGTGGGCAGAATGCGATTTTTGGATTAAAGAAAAACCCTTTCATCTGCTCGAATCCTCCTCCTCCTCTTCTGAGGAAGAGATAACATGCATGCTGGGCCCCGTTAGCGTTAGCGGCTAGATTAGTAGAGAAGGCAGTTTGGCATGGGCCTGCTGAGTACTGGATCCAGTGGAGCTGTTGGCTGGGCTCGATCTCTTCCCCTCCCCCCCGGGGTGCTATATGCACTGACTAATCCCCCTCACTGATTGTACCATGAAAACCCCAGGCGAGTATGAATGGGGGGCTGCCCTACTGGCACAGCGGATTGAGACTTCTGTTTCCCCACAAGCAGCCCAATCATGTACACATCCAGCACCCTCCACCACCAACCAGCTCCAACACTGCTGCATGCAACCCAGCCCTGCCCTGAATTCCACTCACCATCTAACTACTTAGGATTGTTACTATGCAATTTGCATTTCATGGCCGATTAAAGGAACAGTAGCTGATCAGTCAAGACATGTTTGGTGTTTTTAGTTTGCTTCTTTAGTTTTGTACAGGATGTTACGAGGCTAATAATCTCAAATATATGTTTTCTTCTGTATGACATACAGTTATGTTTTGATGATTCAGGCATGCTTTGTGCACAGATCCAAGTGGTGTGTATATGCTTCCATTACATGTTATCTACATGACCTTCCAAGCTCTAGTGCAGAACTAAAGAAGCAAACTTCAGACACCAAAAAGCTTGGCCGACTGACTCCATTTGGGGTAAGTGGAACACTGTGTTTATGAGATTTTTCACCGGACTGTGCCTTTAAAGACTCATTAACTGCCCATAACTAGGACACTGAACTCCTTCATCTTGATTGATAAAAACTGACTGAGAGACTTACTTGATGGATTTGATCCACTCCTCCTTCTCCTCTGGTGTTGGTGCTGATATCCTGTAGACCACGTGATTTCCCTCCACCACCCGCCCATCAGCCTCCGTCTTACACGCCTTGATGACCTGGCCTTTGTGGTTTGGGTTGTAGAGCTCAAAACAGTTCTGGGAAGGGAAGGATAGATTTTACGTTTCTAAGAGTTAGTGCAGGCTCACTATTAGTGATTACAGCATTTTTGAGAGCGTTGAGGGGAATTTCACAATAAAACCAATTGAGCGCAACAAGTAGCTTGTATGTCCTGATTATCAGGTAGATTTTGTTATTGTAACCGTAGACATAACAATGCAGCTGATATCTGTAGTAAAAGGCAAAATCCTCAACACCCAACAGCACCAACATAAACCCTGTCTTTGCATTTTTGGACACAAGTTCAATGTAATACCTCAAAATTAACAGATATTTATGATACATATCTCTACAAATCAGTCCCTAAATGCAGTGAGTCTGAATCTTCCCTCATAGGCATCATTTACACTGATGACTAATGTGAGTGAAGTCATAAAGGTTGGATAGTCCAGATGTTGGACACTCTTTAACTAATCAAGCAAATGAAGCACTCTGCCAATCGTGTGCTTTCTGTAACCCCACCCACTAATTTTTGAAAACAATCAAAAAGGCCTAAAGCACTGAAGGAAACAGATCATGGTGAAAATAAGGGGTCATTTTACTTGTTTGCATTTAAAAAAAATTTAATCCACAGCGAAGGGCAGTGAGTCTAAGTCAGACATGACAGTTATCGTAATCATATGCATGTTTAGCTGGTGCTCTTATTCAGCATGACCTACAATGGCAGTGTTAGCCACTTGCCATCCTTTCCATCCTTTTGAGCTTGGAAAGAATAGAAATATCTTTATTGTCGGCTGTAGTTCCAATATTGAATCAATAGTAATAATTACATTTTTCAATTATTAGCAAATAATATATCAGACGCCCACATATCGTGCACCTCTATGTAATGTAGATGAAGTGATGCATGATGGGTAGCCAGGCTAGGAGCAAATGAGTTGGAGCAAATGGACACAGTGTATCTAAGGTCTCAAAACATGACAAAGCACTCACAGGCTTTCTGGGCTCCTCCACCTCTCGGATACTGAGATTCTCCAGAGGAATGATCCCTCGCGGCTCCTTGTCCTGTAACATGACAATACATACAGTCACAGCCTGCCAGCCACTAGAAAAAGACCTAGACTACGCCACCATATTCCTACGCCTTCATACTGACAACATCAGCTATTGTTACTATTAAAAGTGCTGACTAAATGAATCCATGCCGTCAGCAAAAGTGGAAATCAAGATAAAGACTATGAGGATGGAAAGTTTTACAGGGACCGCTCAGTTTATGAATGCCATACCATACACATCGCTTAACTAAACATCAAAACAAATGGATGTTTGCATGAATGTTCTTTTATAACACTTAGAATGTAGGTCTAAAATGATTAATTTTGCATTTTATTCTTGAACAAACATGCTCTGTAAAGGAAGCCTACTGACCGTTGTGTACTCAAAGTAGTACAGGCAGTTGTCGGTTAAAATGAACCATCGTCTCTTCCAGGTTTTTACTCTTCCTCCTGCAGGGGAAAGAAAATGATAGCGTCATCACTAACCACAGTCAAATAAACACACCAACAGCAAAGCGGTTGTGACCAGCAGACCATTACAAGGCAAATGTATTTTATAGCTGTTGTTTTACCTATGAACTACATGATTACAGTACAATGCTGTTTTTGAGCAACTTTACAGCTTTTAAATAGTTTGTCAAAATCTGTAAAATAAATGGGAAATGGAAAAAAGTAATGTTAAACGTTCCCAGAATGATGATGGGGGCTACAAATGATTCCACAATCATTGAGAAGTCTGTCCACCACTGAGAATGAAGTTAGAATAAAACTCACATCCAGAATGCCTTGTGTTTCAAAAGTGGTGATCAAATCTCAAGGCAGAAAACTTGACAAGAAATTACTATAAATAGATTATAATACTATATAATTTCTCATTCAACAACTTTATATTTTGTTCTCAAAAAAGCTGAAATATTAAAGAAAGCACAAAAATATGTTGTAGTTTATAATATTTCAGTCCATTTCACCATAAATTCAAACCAGTTAATTTATTTGAAACTTTTTTGTTCACTCATGTCAAAACTGTATAACAGGCTAGACATCATGTACAATACATTTACATTTTGATATTTGCTGTTCTTCTTTGTGGTCAAAAAATTTGTTTGATACAGCCTCATTTCACTTGTTATCTGTATTTGGATAAATCTGTTTTGTATGTATTTAGGTTTGAATGCTAATTTGGTTCAAATAACATAAAATTGTATTAAATGTTTATTAAACTGTGTTTGGATCAATTAACCTGACTTCTCTAGCAAATGTTACAACTGAATTGTTCACAAACAGTAAGTGCTTGAAACAGACTTTTCGCTTTTATTTGCTGCAGAGATGTACAGGACGCTTGTACAACATTATTAATCTTGCTTATTTTAAAATGATTTAGCTAAAGCTAAAAAAACCTTTTCTGCCCTAAAGGGAACTGAATAGCTGGCTGCATTGTGCTGCTCTGTGTATCGCGTCAAGGGGGACAACTCAAACTACATTTCGTCGATCTGAACTCCTGGCTATGTGAGCAAAAAACAGGAAATGGCTGGAAGCAGTGCTTCTGCAGCAGGAGCCTTTCTTCAGGAGATGTCAGAGTTGTTCTCAGATCACAGTGTGAACCTGGCTGGTTGTTCTCCTGGAGGCCATGGGTGCCAAGTCCTGCCACTCTCCAAACAACTTCACGCGACCACTGCTGTTTGCATTTTATGATTCAATTAGATGCCCATGTTTACTAAGCTTGTCTCGGCCCAGCCTTTAGCAAACAAAGCCTTAATACCACCAATCTAGCCAGGGCAGAAACACACCCACTCACTCACACACTCCAGACTCCTCCACACTGAAACCACACATCAAACACTGTCCCCTGTTTCCGGGTATATCTGCAGTCGAGGCACTTTTTCCTGCTGATAAGTTGAACAAAAACAGCTTTCACCTCAGAGCTCGTCTGCTGAGGCTGGTGTGACAAGGTGGCTGTGGGCTATCTCAAGTGTTTGCTTTCAGATCTCCAATAGTGACTCTCTCACTGCTATCACAGTGAACACCAGATGATAGTGCGCAGTACACTAGTGATAACAAAGCTTCCTTTATCATCCTTTATCATTATTCTTCGCTAGACCTATAGGCCTGGTTTTCCAGTCACTGATTAGACTGAGTAATAGGTAGAATCTTAGCTTGATGTTCCATTATTAATAAGACGAGAGGTGGATATCATTTTATAATCGGGCCATTATTAAGTAATACAAAGGCTAGTATCCCAATGCCAATGTTGATACTTAAAAAGTCTTCTTGTGCACATAAAAAGGGGAACTCTGTAGTAAAAACAGATAAATGCAGACATCAGTGCAAATGTATGTGAAAGTCTGAAATAAACTGTCTAGTTTAAGCCTGTATTTTACTATTCATCGACCTATTATTTTATAATCGTACTCATCAAGAAACAAAGTGTGTTTCAAAAAAACACCCATTTAACTGATTAAAATATAGTAATATCAGGCCTACCACTATATACTTGAAAATTAAATTAAATTGGATTGTTTCCACACTTCCGCAATGATCCTAAGCTTAAGCTGTTACTGTCCTAAACTTAAACTGTGACTTGAAAAGCACACTACAGTGCTAATCATAACACGTACCATTTTGTTAACAGTAACAACCAACAAAACAGCAATGCGGCGCTAAGCAACAAGGAGAAGGAAATTCAAAATGGTTAAAAATAGAAGAAATACACAAGAAATAATCATCTAATGCCTAAAGATTAGACTTTGTCATGAAGTTTCCTGGCAGGGATACCAGGCAAGGCGGGTTAGGAAGAGAAGGCTGTAGCTGAGCCAGGCATTATGACACACTTCAGTAATAGCGCAATTAACATTGAGTAACAGCACACCTGTTGTGTCCTGTTGGTTCATATACCCACAGGGCACTGAAAAAAAAGAGGGTAGGCCTCAACATGTGAGAAACACCACACTACTGTTTTGTTTTCTCCAGCTATGAGAGGTTCATTGGTAAATACATCACTGTGGTAAATGGTTTCCACAATGATTTTGTGTCACTGTGGATTCATTTCTCAGAAAGGTTCCCCATTCCTGTATCACTGTAATCATCTAGGCACGGATGGATCATGGGCTTCACATGTATCCTTATGTTTATTTCTTAGAACCGTGACTAAATCTTTGTGGTACTTACTGGCACTGTTGATAATTTAACAAAAGAGCCCTACCTTTCCTAACAAGCATGAGCAGCATATAATAAAGGATCAACTGACATTTCAACATTTCTTAACATTTCTGGCCATTGTTAAAGGACCTATAGTTTTTAGAAGTTTATAGTTTACTGTAGTTTCTTGTATTTTATTTTAGGTAAAGAAGAAGTGCCCCAATTAATTTTCACATGACTATTTTCAAACCTCTCCTTATCGCTTAGAGTTAAATAGGCTGTTGTCTCTGTGTCTTTAAGACTAACATATGTAAATGACATCTCTTCAGATTGGCTGTCCTACATTGTACCTCATTTAAAAAGCAATTTGTGTGGAAACACTCCTTTTAACTTCAGTGTAAATGGGAGTTGAATGTTGAAGGAAAAAGTGCATATACAAGTATAAGTTTTGGCTTTACAAATACACAATTCGAAACGGGCTGTTTTTTGCAGCTTTGCTTCCATATTTTTGACAATTTAACAATGTTTACATACAGAAGTGAAAACACAGTGTTCATGATATGGGCTCTTTCAAAGTTACCCAGAAAGCTGCTAATATAATGACGAAGGGACAAACTTGCATAATATTCTCACACTACTGTTCATGAATGTATCATGCTTTTGTAAAAGAAATGCTACGCCAGCAATGAAAGCTTGTAGGGACTAGTTATGCTATCTATGCTATTACACAATCTACTTCACAAAAATATCTATTCAATTAGGCACATTAGCATTTTTCGTGAACTGTTCTTTTAAACTGCTTCAGTGCAAGTACTACAGCTGACTGCAGAGCTTGCAGCAGTTCTGAATAGGCTCATTAAGGCAGAGGCAGTATTCTTACTAATCTTCATTTAGCAGCGTACCTCTCAGGAAGCCCCTCATTTATGCACAACCTATTTTCAAGAGTTCATATTTGTATATTAACATGCCCTAATCTCTTTTATTTCCTATATTTCTGTAAGGATTCAAAACACATCCCCCTCCCTTACACCCTCCAAGGGGTGTTTTTAAATTAAAAATATTTCAGTAAAGAAACTCTTCTCTCTGCACTGCCTGGAGGAGTTTTGGGGGGTAATAATGTAACGACTCTGTACGCCAGAGCTGTTGGCATGTATATGAGCCTGCAGAGACCTTACGTACTGCTGGAGGAATGTGCGAGTCCCAGGCCAGGCAATAATACTGAGGTGTGACGGTTGGCCAGGCCCACAGTCAGCCAGGTGACCTCTGACCCTGACAGACCACAGCAGCCAATTAGAACAGGTACTGGCAGATAATGTGTAGTGAGAAGAAATGCCACTCCATAATGTCTTGCAAGTTTGACACTAGAGGGCGCTCCTGAGTGAGTCTAAAATGAATGGACTGCTACGGAGTTAGGGAGCTTTTGTGCGAAATCATAGCTTGTAAATGCTTACTAATTTTTTATATAGAAAAATGCACTGATTTTCAGGACATGGAAAAGCATACAATATATAAACACTGCTGTTGTACTTTTCAACTCGTGGGCACCCTCTAGAATTTTGTAGTCATGTTTTTTAAACACTGGGAAAAACAGAGGTGGCCATGCTTTCCTTAAACTTTCTCTGGTTCTGTTTTTGAAGCGCTACAGTGAGGAGAGCAGTGGTGGAAATCATTGCAGGCCCCATAATACAGTATTATGACAACACTTGAGCCACGATACTATTTCAATGTTTTTATCCATTATAGTTTACACTTTTGTGTATGAAGTTTCTGACTTCAGTCATTTTTATAGACTCAAAATAATAAACTGAAGTAGACAAAGCAACACTGAAAAGCTACAGTTCCATTCCAGTTACATTTAGCAGCCCTTACCCAATGGATTTTGGTATTCTATTAGTTTATGAATGAAGCTAATAAACATTTTAAATGGGAAATAATATATGCCAAGGTATCAGCATTTGTGTATTAGGGATAGGGGTGGGCAATATGACAACATTTATCGTTATCATGTTAAACTGCATGACAATAAGCTCTTCTAAGGATATTGTGAATGCTTAAAGAACACTACCCAACTTGAAAAGAGAGCACAATTAGTCCTGTTTAAGTGGATTTTCTGTAGCACAGTGTGTAAAACACTGAAGAAAAATATTATATTTATTATTATTACTATTATTATATTCTATTTATTTATTGTTATGCAATTATATACATTTTTATATGTGGCACTCATGGGGCTTTTTTATACATCCTCAGAAAACTTATATAACTTTAGAAAAACTAAATGATGTGATACATATTGTGTATCATGTAATGTCTGTGGGGTACATTATAATTTCCTCCTATATTTGTCCGTTGGGTATTCACCCATGAACTTAACTGTAGCCTAAGCAGTGTGTACTTCTCAGATCTATAGGTTTACATCTTTATCTTTCACCTAGTAGCAGTAAATTAAAAGCTAACTGATCATTTCCCACGGCATACAGTATAGCTGTATAACCTACAGTATAGTGTTTACACTGTATGCAGTATAGCCTATACTATTTTTCATGACTTTTTCAGGACTATCTTGCACATTGATGTAGAATCTTTCAAAGGGGAATCATAATTCATTTAGGAAACAATTAGTATAATATTTTGAATGTGCATGGGATATCATTTGCATGGGGTTATCCATTCCTGTAGCGGTATGTGAATACAGAAACCACTATTCTGGTACATTCATCATGGAAAGACGGGAAAATATACAGGACACCAATTCACTGAAGTGCTGTGATGTTCTGACAGAGCAACAAAACATGACAGCTTTTCTATTAGTTAAGATTAACTGCGCTATGTAAGACGTGGAAATTTAGAAATCTCCTTGATGTAATTGCACACAACATGTGGGAGAACATTTTGTAACGTCAATTGTATTCCAGATCCCTTCCCCAAGTGGATTAATCTGATGATTATGAGTGTGCTGAAAGAGTATTCAAAGAGAACTCAGTCAAAACTCGGTGAAGGACATTCAATTTTAACAAAAAAAATCTTGTATAGTGGAGTTTTAAGTAAATGCACCATGCTACAATGGAACATGAATTATTTGCCAAGTTTGTGTTTTTTAGGACATGATTAAGAAGGCAGAGTTTATGTGGACTAAAATAAACTGCGTCTTTTTTGTGTGATATTTTATGTGAAAATATAATATTGATTCTAGATATTCTGACTGCATTCTGATTAATGTGAATGTTTGAGTTTGTGTAAGAGTTGAACGGAACAAATGGGACAAAGTTGAAAAAAGTTGCATGGAACAAAAACATCAACCTACAGAGGTGTTCACTTAAAAAACATATCTTATTAGTTAAAACTAGCCCAGGGAAATCTTTTGACAACTGTGCTTGAGTAACAGTAGCTACCCCTTAATGACAAGCTAACGCTAACATGTACAATTCTCTATGGTGCTGGTTTTTATCTCTCCCATCCCTAGAGTTTGGGAGGACAAGAGGACAGGCTAAATGAGGGAGGAGGTGACAGGAGTAGAGGAGGTTAGAATGGAGCCACAGCGCTCTCCCAGGTTACATACTTCTTGGGGGGTGTGGGTGAGAGGAGACAGGCAGACACACACAGAAGGATGGGAGCAGAGGGCAGGGAATAGAGAAACATAAAAAGGAACATGTAACGATGATGCATCCAGCCACACGCGCACACACATTAAACTTCTAGGACCAACACTGCACAGACTCGGGGAGGAGACGTAAGGGTGGGAGAATATTAAAAACATATGTAAATAAACACAGAGCTCCAGGCAAACTACATCACTTTTTTTTTTTTTGAATGATGCCTGGTAAATAAAAATAGCAGCGCAGAATAAAACTGTCTGACTGCATTTTTGTGGGACCTCTTAAAAGACTCTGGCTATGTCAACATTAATGTGAGAGCAGTGACATTTGTAGAGACCTTGGCAGCAGAGCCTCATAAAAAGAAGGCATTACACACGTATTTTCTTTCACTTCCACACATCACATCTTTCCCTGCAAAGTCGCAGCTATTTGTGATTAATGTACTTTTATTTTACACTCTTAAAAATGAAGGTTCCTAAATGGTTTCTGGCTCTGACGTTCTATTCTACACTCTTAAAAATAAAGGTTCCTAAATGGTTCCTGGCTCTGACAGTACTGTTCTACACTCCTAAAAATAAAAGTTCTTGGCTCTGATGTACTGTTCTACAATCTTGAAGATAATGGATGCTCAAAAAAACTTTATTTGTAGAGAACTTTTGCATTGTGTTGAGAATTTTAAACTTTAACAAAGCACCCACCAAAACAGCCTACAGTGAACCAAAAGTGGTTCTTCTACAGCATCACTCCAGACAACACTTTTTGGTCCCATTTGGTACCTCTTCTTTTAAGAGTGTTGGAAACTGGTTTAGAACCAATTGGTTTCGAACTTTAGCATTATGATTTACATTTAAAAGGCCAAAGTGATGGAAAACCGTATTTTCCTCACTATTTTGAAATTATTTTGATGTAGTATGTAAACACCATTAAAGTTTCAAAATGTCCCGTTCACTCCTCAGTCTACTACACTACTCGTTCACACAGTCCATATGGAAACTAAATTGCAAAAACAGCCTGATTTTGTGTTGTCAGGAAAAGCAAAATATTGGCATATATTCATCTATTAAGCCAGCAGTTTAGCCTCGCACATTCACACTAAAGTTAAAGGGGTGTTTCAGGCTGGTCTGGCTTTCAAATGAGGCACAACACAGGACAGCCAATCAGAACAGAGATCTCATCCTAGATGTACTTAAGTCCTGTTTGAAATCAGCATGAGACTTAAGCAGTGTTCTCCTGTTTCTTATATATGGCTCCTGAGCAATAGCCCACTGATGTTCTCACTTGAATCAAAACATTGTTTGATAGATGTTTTAACTCTTGTGTCTGGTTTATCCCATCATAGTCAGTTATTTAATAATATTTATGAGAGAAAGTGTAAGATCTCATCTCATTCTTATATAGACCTCCTCTACAGTTTAGAAATCTTTCAGCAGTCTGTCACTGCAAAAGGGGATTTGGGTTTTTCCTTTTTTCTTCAGAACCTCTTACAATCACCTCTTTTTTCCTAAGAGGGATCTCAGGAGAAAGAATTCAGAAATCAGTCATCCTACATTAAAACAGTACTGGGATGCTTTATTTATCCTGAGAACAGTTGTTCTTATGAAAGACATTTTTGCTTTGGGATGTCATATATGGATACAGGATATGATGTATGAAAAATGTAGAATATGGGGACATTTGAAAAGGTTCTTTACTCTTGCGCACATTAACAAAAATGGTGTGTTAAAGAACCATCCACAGAAAGTGTTTTTTTAGGGAATCAGATTTGGTCCCTCTATGGCATCACTCCAACTCTTTTTGTCATCTTTATTTTTAAGAGTGTAGACCTCGTTCACACTAAATTGCTTAATTTTAATACAGAAATGCTGAAATAGAGGGGCCTATTTGTAATAAGGGGCCGTAAATGCATTTATGAGCCACTGAATGGTGATGTTTTCACAGCTTTCACTGACACCACCCACCTTGTGAGAAAACCCACAGTTTCTCTCAGCGGTCTAGCCACACCGTGACAACACTGTGTCTCTGGAGTGACAGAAAGCGATGGAGAGAGGACAGTAGAGCAACACAACAGACAGAAAGTGTGTGTAGAGGCCTCACAGGGTCAAAGGCCTGTGCTTCTCCACTGACCTAGCTTCAGCAGCCAGCCTTCTCTGTCAGGATTGAAGAAAGTGTGGGTCAGGTCATTGCCATCATCCTCGGGGATCTTAAAGGGTTCGCTTTTAATGCTTTCGTACAGGTTCTGCTCGGGAACAGGAGAAGAAAGTGAGAGAGAGATGCGAAGGCGACACATTAGTGCTCATCTTGCATGCAAATAAGTACAAACACGTGGCTGCAAGTTTAAAATTTTAATGACATTCCTATGGCCACTAGTGCATTAATCATGATGGGCTTGGGTGCTGTTCTGGTTTCACTTGAATGGAACCTGAACTAAATTAGCTGAGTCTTGCAAGGTCAGAAACAGATGAAGTTTCTGAGTTAATGCTAAAGGATCTACCAAGTTTCAGAACTTCAAATAGCTTCAACTAGAAACTTTAGCACATTTTGAGGTAATGAGATTGAGAATACAGGGCATATGGTTGCTAAGGTTACTAGCATTAAAGTAGCTAGCATGTTGCTAGCATCATTAGCAACTGGGGTATACTATATATCTTGCCATAAGTGATAAGTGATTATTTTGGACTTCAACAAATTCTGCATTTTGCAATCAGAAAATTAACATTTTAAAAATGAGATATTGTACCTTTTCAGTGGTTAAATGTATGTTCTCTTAATTTCAGAGTTAAATATGACAAAACTAAAGTTTTTAATAATTACAAGGGCTAAATGACACCCCAGTCATGGAATCACCACGCTAGCTAGCTGCACACACTAGCAAGCTAGCTAATATGTAGTTTTGAGTTTACGTTACTTGACTAGCTTGCTTTTGCTAGGAGTTTAGGATTATTTAAGCCTTATCATTTAGAAGTCATCAAAAAATTAGCAACTGTCAATAATTGATAGCCCCCTCCCCAACTTTGCTCCCCTACACCCACTCCTGCGGTTAGCTTTGTTAGCAGGGTGGATGTGCAGGCCCTGCTGTCTGCATTGCTGGCAGAAGGATAAAATATGCCACAATGTTAGTGATGGTTAACTTCAGTAAAAGCCAGCAGTGCATGGCAGGCCTTACTGTTAGTATTGCTAGTAGGACAAGAGAGTGTGCCCAGTGTCAGTGATGTTTAGTACTGGCTCTGATATTAAAATTGTTAATTCCAAAGAAGGCCAACAATGATTACCCTGAGCAGCTCCTCTGGCAGATCTCCTCCCTCGTTGATGCCTCTGTTCATGGAGATGAAACGTTCCACAGCAGGCTTGTCCCTGACATTGGGGTTGTGAAGGCTGGTGTTCAACATGATGATTGCGAAGGAGAGTACATAACATGTGTCTGTAGAGAAACAAGAAAATGCTGAAAATACTCTTCATATTGTTCCATGGCTATCAGAATCAGTATTATTCTAGCTACACAGCTTTATTACATGATCATTTGTATTACTCACTAGTAAACAGCAGTAACTGGAATTACCTTATCCTAATAGCCTGATGGATGCCATCATATTAATGCAGATTTGTGTATGACAGTCAGAATAATTGTACTGTCACAATAACCACAAAGCATTTTAATCAATCTGAATTTCCACCTCCCTTCAATTTGAGCTGACGTGTGTAACATTACAACTCTGTCAACTCTCTCCTCAGACATGAGAGTGGGCGCTGAGGCACTGGAGTGGAGAGAAGGTGGGCGGATAAAGGGAAAAAAAAACCCAGTGTGTTGTTTCTAATGGCTTCGACATGGTGCAGTCCCAGTAGACATAGTAAATAAATCATTGCAGTTGTGCTCTCCGTCGCCACTTTTCCTCTTCCCACCATGTTCACAAACAAACGCCTGCCCTTTTCCTCCTCCTGCTCACTCCATGGATAAGACACAGTCAGTGGCTAGTCCTGACACATATCAGAAGTCATAGGCCTGTTTAACCCTGAATCCACATTATCACAAGCACATAAAATTAATTAAACTCTTATGAAGCACAAGAGGTAAAAAGATGGAGAACTATATGGTTAGAATTAACCATGGTTAGACTAGGGAACAGCAGTTCGCCTAGTGTGTAGAACCCGCTGCATGCACATATATATATCCAGATCTGTTGAATCTAAACATTACTTAAACAGAAAGTCTGGCAACGTTAAACAGGCTAGAAGATCTCAAAAAGCAGCACGATTCCACTTTCTAAACAGATTCAAATAGATGTGAAACAAAGTTATTGGAGTCTACCAGTCTGGAAAGGGTTACAAAGCCATTGCCAAGGTTCTGGGACTCCAGCGCACCACAGCGAGAGCCATTATATTCAAATGGAGAAAACTTGGAACAGTGGTGAAACTTCTCAGGAGTGGCTGGCCTACCAAAATTTCATGACTCAGGAGGTCACAAGGGAACCCAGAGAAACACCTGAAGAACTGCAGGCCTCACTTGCCTGAGTTAAGATCAATGTACACAATTCCACAAAGGAAAGACACTGGGCAAAAATGGCATCCATGGCAGAGTTGCAAGGGGCAAACCACTGCTGACCGAAAAGAACACAAAGGCTCGTCTCACATTTGCCAAAAAACATCTAGATGACCCTTAAGACTTATGGGATAATATTTTGTGGACTGATGAGTCAAAGGTGGAACTTTCTGGAAGACATGGGTCCTGTTACATCTGGGGTAAAGCTAACACCGCATTCCACCATAAGAACTCGTTACTAGAGACGCAACTGATCAGATATTTGGTATAGATATCAGGTTCATATGAGCAGAAAATCCTAGATCAGAATCCTAAATCACACACTTGAATTATGTGATGTTGTTAGCTGTGTATTTAGTAGAGAGTAACTTGAACATGACAGCTTACTTTTAGATGCTCATCTTAAGTAAAGTGCTTTAATTAAAAATAGCTTGATAGTTTTTAAAGAAAAGAATATCGGATAGGTACAGTTGATACTGATCTCTACCCTACTACGATTACTTATTACTTATTACTTATCTACTTATTACATTAACACACATTAAAGTTATAGTTTTTTCACTCTCCTGTAAAGTTGTCACTCTGAAGACACAAGGTCTTGTTATGACAACAGTGAAATGTATAAACGACAACATAGCTGCCCCATATGAGGCTCGCAAGCAGTGCCGGAGTGGGTAATCAGGAGAGTTGGGATTCCCAGTGGGCCAGTAACATTTTGGTCCAATTACAATAAGGTAACATATGTAAACCCATGCACATATAAACATGAACAGACAACTTAAACGCTACAACCATGTCTATATTTGCAGTAATTCAGGGGTTAAATCAGTGGTTCCCTCCCCAAGTGGTCATTCATCAGTTATTCTCGGCATCAGTCTGGTGCTCTTTGATCCAACAGGGAGTGTTCTACAGAGTGCATTACTGTTTGCATTAATTACCAATGTAGCAATGTCAATTCTTCAATCATATAAAGATGGACAGCACTGGCAAGAAAGTGAGAAAACCTCGATGATGCTGAGAGGGCGAGTTGAAACATGAAAAAAACACTTGAAGAGGGTGGAGGGAAATGAGCAATGAGAAATGCTGACATTAACTTGGTTAACTAGCAGTTTAAGTTTCATGATGGTCACTTTTTTTGTATTCTCCAGTTTTCATGTTTTCACAAACTGGCCTGATATGTCATTATAGCAAATTAATGAGGGTAGGAAATGAAAATGAAATGATTTTAATCAGTTGTTAGCTTGTTGAAAAGTTGACAAGCAGAAACTTTTAGAAATGAAGGAAAGTGTGTGTGTGTGTGTGTGTGTGTGTGTGCGTGTGGCATCGAAAATAGAGAGTTTGATGTGGGCCGGTCTGCATCTTAAAACTCCCAGACCTACTCCAGCCCTGCCCGCAAAAGTGTTTGATTTGGCCTGACAAAAGTTTTCCCTAACGCCTCCAGCCAAGGAAAGAACACACTTTTTTATATATTTTCTTATTTTTCATTTAAGAATAGAGTTTTTCCAACTATAAACCTAAACATCTACGACCTGTCATCACCAACCGCAATGACGGTGCATGTTTGCACTTAAGTAGCTACCAATTATGACCTAATGACAGAAATGTACCATGGTCATAACAGGCAGTGGCACATGTAAAAGAGGAGATTTAGGGACTACTGGAGTTAAGAATATCTTTTTTTTAGGAAAGACTAAACAAACTGCTCTATTTGTAAGAAAATTATTGCAGTATTTAAAGAGCACAGCATTTGTCAATATTATGAAACATTCAATGTGCAAAAACGTAAGGCTAACAAGCCAACTATCTGTTTTGTCTTTTTGGTGCTCAGCTCACTACAAACATTACAGTTTGGCCCCCCAAGTCAGAGAAGTTTGGGCACCCCTGTGCTAGATACAGTTAGTTGCATCTCATTCCAGCAAACTAGCACGAGGTCTAGTGCATGTGGAGCTCTGGCACAGAGCCACTGCTATTGACTGACGATCAATTTCATTATCACAGACATCATAAGTTAATTAATGAGGCCATGCATCTATCAGCAGGAGGGTGTCATGGTTAGACAGATGAAAGAGCAGACAAGGTGAATGTGCTGTGGAAAAAACATGAAAAATGGCATCCATTTTACTGGAGACACAAATGCACGGCAATTAAACCTTTAATGTGAAGTCGCCACAGTCAATTACACTTGCTGGAAAAGAAATGAAGGGGGAGTAGTTGACATAGCTATGATTGTTATCTCATTGGTATGGAGACCACCACCCCCATACTGCTATAGTCTGACCTGTGGATTGGAAGACTCCTGGGTTGCATTGGCAGTATCGGGACGCGAAGGCTTCCATCATCCGATCGATCTTCTGTGCCTCGCCTGGCAGTCTGAAGCTCCAGAGAAATTGCCTGCATGGAAAAATTGAGTGGGTGGAACAACCAGGGATTTGAAGCATCCATAAAAAAAGGAAATGAGGAATATCAAAACTTAGCAAAAAAACATCCTGTTCTAAGAAACAGCCCTTAGGTGAACAGCAACTAAAACTGTATCTTTCAGACCAGACTATTCAAACTAAAGAACAGAAGTTGGAACAGAGCAGGAACATTTACAACCGACCTTAATGCCTGGACAAGATTGAGGTCTGCAAATTCATGGAGCTCCACGAAAGCCTGGAGCACTTTAATGTTGAAGTCATCCCTGTGGGAAAACAACATCATGCATCACAGTTTAACAACAGTACAAATAATACTATCATTTATTTTTGTAAAAACTACATGAATTTGCATGAATGATATAAATAAATACATGAATGATATTAAAAAAAAATTCAATCATTCAGATGTAAACAAATTTCCTCAGAGTGGTTTGAAACTTGCTAACCGACAATGGTGGTGATAGACACAACAATGTCTACAGTGAAAATCTATCCATTTAATTTGATATCCAAAACAACCACTAAACCTACACCTGATACAAAAGTCGTAAAATAAAAAAAAAAAGTTTTTTGGGACTTTATGTAATAGCTTTTAGAGGCATTACCTCCTTGGACACCTAGTTCCACCACTGTGAAAAATTCTGCCTCAGTACATTTGCATAGAAATAGCAGTTAATTTCATCTGTATATGTCTGTCCTGAATGGCTCCGTTTACATCTTAACCATTTAATTATGCACACATTTTCCCTTAATTCCCTTTAAAACAAGGATAAAAAGTAGACCATCATACCTGGTGTTGTATCATTGCCATCTGTAGGAATTATGAAAGTAGTGTATTTTTTTTACCTAATTTAATCATCTCCAGGTGGAGTAATGATTTAAAACAATGCCCTTTGAAACGGTTTATTCATTAGCTTTTGATGAGCTTTGTGGAAGTAGTATTGCACAAATTGCTATAAACTATAACTCTACAAGAACAAGACTGCTTTTAATCTCAGAAAATCATGAAAACTATCAACACAAAGATCCCACCAACGGTGCCTCTTGACAAGAGAAGTAATTGTTTTAGGGGAATTTACACAGGCTCAGAGCCAAACCAGTGAACAGTGAACTGGATAGTAATCTGGCTTGTTGTACATCCAAGATATGCACCATGAAACTGTGTTGTTTTGACAATCATGTCCCATGAGGTGGCCCGTTTACTTCAGAGAGATAAGAAACACATGTTGCCCCGGCCGCTCTTTCACTGCTGTGGAGGCTTGTCATTGCTCTGCTCAATAAACCCAGACGATCAATTTCCACAAGATATATGTCATGCTCATATGCACTGGGCCCACAACTTGCTGGGGGACTGACATAAACGAAAGGGGCAGAAATAAAAAAGGGTTGAAACGAAGCGCTTACCTTTCACCTAAGTAATCCCCGATGACTGTTTTGTTTAGGCCCTCGCCTTTGTACAGGAACTGGGCTATGTCTTCAGGAGTGTGCTGCAGGAGGTCGTTCTCCAGCAGAAACTGGATCCCCTAGAAGTTGAACAGGGGTGGAGATACCAGACGTCTGAGAACAGGCATACTGACCCAGAATCAGTTCTTCCTTTTGGTTCTAATGAGATTTATATGGCCAAAAATGGAGCTGAGACATACACTGACACACATCGTCCCTGCTGTAGCAAAACCTTGTTTCTTCAAAATAATTATTATACAGAAAAAGGAAAAAAACATTTTTGACTTGGAATAAAATGTTACAAGTAATTCTGTTGGTCTATTCATCATGAATTGTTTGCATGATGTAAAGGGCAGCTGGCATTTTGAAATGTTGTATCAAAATAAGCAGCAAAACAATTATGAGCTCCTGATAAGACAGCAACAATATGTGACCCATTACCTGCTAATCATTTGAATTTTAATTTCATACATAAATGTCAGTGTACGCGTATGTATTTGTCTGTGAAAATAACAGTGGAGCTTATTTGAATGCTTCAAAAGAAATATCTAAAGATAACATTTAGAAAAGCAAATTGACTTGCCTTTTTGGGATCCATATTGAATTTCTTTCTTCCCATTGCAATCTGTTTGTTTCTCTGTGTGGTTTTGCTATAATTTGGGGGGAAAAAAAATATGGTTCAGACGTGGCAATTGTCCCCAGCAGACTACATATACACAGTGGAAGAACTTTCCAGAAACTAAGATGGGGATGGTGAATATCCTCCCAAAATTAGATACAAGAAAGGGCCAAGAACTCCCCAATCACTTTCCAGTCAGCTAACTTTATTCATGACATCAATGATTTATGGAGGTTCCACAAATTCTGGCTTACACTTAACATTCCAGTTGGTTTTAGGAGAATACTATTTGGGTTGCCTCAGAGATAAGCTTTCTTTATTTTTATAATAAAAAACTGCAACTATCTTCTATCGTCTTTTACAGTGGACTTATTTTATTGAATGATGCAAGCTTTGTACATTTTTATGGCTGTAATATAAGGACAATAAGACACCATGATGTTTAAAGTAAGACATATATTTTGAGTCTTAATCCATTTTAACAATCTCTTTGTCCAGAATGATCAGCTTTTTAAACCTGTTTTCATAAATATAAAGAAGTGTTGCACAACAACAAAAACCAAACAAACAAAACTAAAAAATCTTTGTGGTGTAACCAACTAGCCTACTCACCAACTTCAACTTCTTCTGAACAATGTATCATCCTAATTCAGCACCTCAGAAAACCTAATTGGTTAATATCTAGTTTAATACACCTCTGAAAACATGCATCATTCTGTATTCAGCGTCATGCCTATATTAGAAACTCTGTGCGTAAGTTAGATTTTATGGTAAAACAACACTGCTATATGGTAAAGAAAAAGGTTCCAAACCTGATTTGTTTTGTCTTATGTACATTTTCCCTCCAAATATCACCGGATCCTCTGAATTACGAGGTAGTAAGGAGTCAAAATCTAAACATTGCTTCTAATAGTGCTAATAGAAATTTTTGTGCATCCAAATGAAAGTAACTTTACTATTAAACTTTTAAAACATTTTACTATAATAACACCAGCTACGCCTAATGTACTGTACTGCCAAAGCTACTTAAGTACCACACTTATCTAATAGTGTCTCATGATGTCAGTGTGTAGCAGTGTTAGCTCACATACAGCAAAATTCACATTTCGACTACTCGTTAACTCCTTGAGACCACCGGTGGTTCCAAAACGCACTTCGTCATATTCTTCACTTCATAACTTTCATATTTTATAAGCTTCATTCAAAGGGTGGGTGTCATATGAGAGCTGTAACTGTCTTCTTTCCAGTCAAATAGATGGGTAATGTAATTTTACAACTTTACAATTAAAGAAGCTGAACTCACAACATATTTTTTTTACTGACCCATTTTTCCACAAATCTGAGCTATAAACAGGATCTCAGATGGTGTCTCTTCAGTGATCTGCTCTGTAAAAATTACTTTTATAAAATAATACAAAGAGCATCTAAGATTTTTGGCTTTCAGCAGTAAATTGTAAGCATATAGCATTACGTCTATGATCATAAAACACATTTTCTGTTCATTTGAGGGGAACAAAAAAAAAAAACAACAAAAATTTAGTTATTTCATGCAATTACTGAATAATTTGCCTTATGATTTGGGCATGTAAATTCAGATGGAAAAAATTAAATATACCTACGGGCATAAGTGGTTAACAACCATGTAATTTAAGAGAATCCACTGCCATTAGTATAAAACATTTCAGGTTTGGAACCAATTTGCTTATCACAGGTTGATGATTTTTAAAAAAATCCCATTTATTTTTTGCCTTATAAAAATCCAGCTTAGACCTGGAGTTTCTAACATGGGCATGATGCTAAATACAGAACGCTGAGAGAACTTCAATGGTCAATAAACACAACCTCAAAAGGTGCAGTCTCAGAAAACACTGAAATATACACAATTTTCACTTTACTCCAAATGTAGTTGATCAGCCAAGACTTCTTTGGTGTCTGAAGTTTGTTTCTTCGGGTTATACACTTCAGCAACAAGACTAATGTTGGTAACAAATAATAGAAGCTATACAATTCGCAATATGCATGCCTACATCTTCACGCTGTTGCCTTAAACTGTGTCGTGTTGTTAAATAATCTCAAACAGACTTCCTCATGTTGTTTCAGTCACTGTATGTCATAAAATACTGTTATCTATATAAAAATAGAGACAAAATTTACATTTCAAGATGGCTAATACTGTTTTCCCTATGGAGCTGACTCTTACAGTATGTCATACAATGTCAGAAACCACATAAGCAAATCTGTTTGAGCTTACATAACGCTATTACTTGTTAGCTGCATTAGCCTTGTAGCTCCAGTGCAAAGCTGAACTTCAGGCTGATACCTGGCTGATACCTGAGAGGTGACACCATGTAACACACTAGCTTTCATCTCTATTAATTTGACTTTGCCTATTTTTTCCACACCATGTGGACTAGCCTTTGTTGCAGGCCCTCCAACCCGTGCTTCCTCTCGCCCTGCAATGACGTGACCTATCAGAGCAGATGACAGTGTCTGAATGGAGGGGTTAGCAAATGCTTACATGAGGACAGATCGTCAGGCGGGAGAGCGCTGAACAAACGCTCCTCAAACAAAAGGGATTAGCGGAGTAGGCAGGTGCATAGCTGAAAGCGCTAATGCGCGTTTCAGCAGCTCTGTCATGTTACAGGGAAAAAAACTCATTTGATGCCAGCGTTTCCCCTACACCACATCCTTCTATTTGTCTGTGTACAAGGAAAGAAATTATGTTGATATCATGAAAGATGGCACCAAGGCCAAAACTCACCTCTCCCCCACACAGGTGAGCTGCTCGATTTCCGTCATCACCTCGGCGATCTCGAACTTCAACCGCTGCCAAAGAGCCACAGAGTGTTAGAGAATTAGAATGTGAAACGTGGAAAGGCCTCAGGGTTGATGTAGTGAAAGACCAAAGTAATCAGCATATTCTCATGCTCCCAGGTCCGTGTCTCCTGCTCCATATTCTACCATGTGGTGAAGTCAGTTAAGGCTCCAAAAATAGTACATGCTTCTTTACATAGCTTATAAATATGCACTAATGAAATGCAAATCAATAAAGAGGAATTCATTTGCTTTCTCCCTTGCAAGAGGGTTTATGCAAAGAGGCTGTGAACTGTTGAACTGTGAAAGAGTTAATGGAGTAAAACGGGAACGAAGAAGCTATATATATATATATATATATATATATATATAGCTTCTTCTTTCACATTTTTTTTATATATGTAAAATACATATATAAAAGGGTGCTAACAAAGCATACAGAGTAACAGATGGGTTACAGTCTGCAACTGTAGAACTACAAAGTGCACCTGTATGGTAAGTGGAGCTGATAAAATGGACAATGAGTGTAGAAATAATGAGGAGGTTTTAATGTTACGGCTCATCAGTGTATACTATACTACTAGTTCGCACACCTAACTGAACATGAACTTATTATAATCTTAAAGGGGCATTCTGGCCTAAATCTGTCATTTAGCACTGATGTAAAGGCTAATAATATGTAATTCCTAGCATTAACGTTAGCTATCTGTATTCATCCACTCTGAAGAATCCACCCCAAAGCGTAGCGGTTTTTAAAATTCCTCCAGCTTTCAAAATACACCATTAGAGTGGGCTTTTCTTAGTCTTTAAATCGGAAAATGTCTCTCTCAGGACAACTGCAGCACCACTGTAGGATGTGAGTAGGCATTTTTACAACAGATCGCAATGGTTTCATTTTTCATTTTGGGCAGAGAGTCCCTTTAAAAGACATTCTAATCTAAAGGCTTATACTTAAATGCTTGAATCTGCTTTTAAGACAAATACAAACAGTGAAGCTGATGGTAAATTATGAAACTATTTCCAAAACTTAACATTTCATTTAAATTCAAGAAATGAAAAAAGCAACAGCATATGTTTATCTTTTTCAGTTCTGTTAGAAAAGCATTCCAGGTGGCTCCTGTAAGACACTTTTTTCCTCATGTTGTTTCATAGTTTTAATGTCTTTAGTGATCCTGTAAAATGTGAGAAATAGTATAAAAAAGGGAAAACCTCTGAGTACATGTGCCCAAACGTTTGACTTTTAAACATATGTGTATACACACACACAAGACTTTCCCCACAAGACACTTCTCCCTCCTTTTGCCCCCTTAGCTCCTGCAAAACCTCTTCAGCTCCTGCACAGTCTATGTATCTGCAAATTATAATTTTGATTCAATTTCTTGTGTTTCTTTATTTATTTATTTATTTACTTGTGAGACTCACCTCAATGTCATCCAGCAGCTCCTTTTTCCTGCGACGTATATTTGTTAGCTCGTCCCTCTCCTCTAAGGACAGGTCCTCAGGTACTAGAAAAGAGCAAGTGGATGAAGACAAGTGTGAACATGGGCTGAGGACTCAAGTTCTTATGATATAAACCTCCTCATTATTTCTGGTCGTTAGGACGTGCTCTTCTGACAGTTTATATCACCAATCAGATTTTTCTTCATGCATTCTATCTCAAGACATGTTTTCTTCTGACTCAGCTGAGCAGGACTGTTGAGGCGGAGTTTGATTCCCATTGAAAAAAACAGAGCTTCTCCAGCTAGGACATCTATGCCTCCTTTAGGACCCAGCATCTGCTAAAATGAATACAATGTCTTGGCTGGGGACTGCTTCCGTATTTGGTAGAATTAGCGGTAACACAGAACACATACGCAGGCTGACGGCCAGGTCCTTTTTTTGTAGCACAGGAAATTGTATACTCGCATTATGTAAAGCATTGTGAGTGAGGCAAGAGGTCTCTCGTGGAGACCCCATCCTTTAGCATTGTTGCTTAATAGTAGAAAGGCTGTCACACGCCAGCACCTTTGCACGTCGCCGCTTGAAGATGCTTGAGAGTCACACACCAGGCAAGGAAGTAGGTCACTTTCGCATTTAGCTATGGCAGATTGTGCTAACTCCTCCACTCTCTTCTGCCAGCTTCCTGTATCCATTGCTTGGGAAGCAAAAAAAAAAAAAAACCCAACTGAATCATTCTGCTAAGCTGCTTTACAACTCATCACCCTCCCTCTCCAATCTTCCACCGTCAATAACAAGAGTGCTATATTTGGCAAAACAAAATGACAGAGATATGGACCATTAATTCCAAGATGGTGAGCTTTCGGAGAGCCTGGAGTGATGGACGTGCTGCCAAACTCCGAACAGATGATCAGCACAGCATCTCATGGAGTGCATGAGGCCACCAAAGCCAATGCTTTATGAATTCAGAACAAAATGAAGGCTTTATGGTGGAAGGAAAGAACAGACGATGGAACTTCAGGGCAGCCTGACTGCGCACAAAGGCTTTTGCTGGGTATCTTCTTTTTTTACACAGCACATAAAGCCTTGATTGTCAAGCGGAACCCGTGGGCGACCTACGTCTAACGTTCAGAGCCAAGCGCCAGCCCTCCTACACTGTCACCGAGAATTCACTCGACAAATGAAAGACTCAAATGTCTCCGATTGTTCGGCTACTGAGCTCAATGACGGGCCCCTGCTGTGTGTTTGCAAGTGCGTGCTGGTGTATGAAGTGAAAGGTAATTTGACAATCATTGTGGCGCCGCTTTCAACCGTGTGGTAATGTTTAATGCATTAAACATGGCTTTGTGTTGCTGGGGTAAAGGGACAGCGGAGTTTACTTGTAGTCCTGGTGTTGGCACTAATTTGTCAGGGCATTATCTCGCTGAGTGTCCAGAACACGTCTACTTTACTCCATGGGCCTCAGACAACAATAGGCCACCAAGCTTGAATATGCGTCAGAGACTCGGTGGATGTTAACAGCTGATCTCTTTGAACTGTCCAGTGTCATGCTGAGTAGCACATTGCCCAGTGCGTCAGCATAAGGGCACTAGGACAACCCAGGACCCCTAGCAGAGACTGTACACAGTATGAATATATTTCAAGCTACACTGCACAAGCCACATGCAAATCCTTGGCTCTGTATTAATTTTCCCAGCTCTTTTCAATAAAACCACACTGTTCAAACCTTCAAAAAGCAGGATCTACGGGTGAAACAATTCACCGGACCCCAGCTTACTCAGAATCTCTCTAAAGAATTTCCCTCTCTTCCAGGCTGAGCCGTGCTGACTGAGTAACTCTGAACTACTAACCATGTCTTGTGACTGCTAAGGCTGCTTAAAACTTACATAAGGTAGTGAGGGCTATGGAAATGTAGCCATGTAATTCTAAGCACTGCTTGGGGGCAGTGTATCACCTACACATCATTCCTGAGGCACACAAGCAAAGCATTCATTTAAATGACTGACGTCACCAGTGCACGTTACAGTCATGTAGTTCAGAATTTCTCAGCTAATAATAATAACTGATAATTACACCTTGATGTGGTTAATACTGATAGCAATAACTGATATTTGAACTTTTTGCATTTTAACCTCTTTCTTCCAGGCCCCGTAGTGGCCATCCCGCAGCAGAACTGAAATGATAATGAAATAAAATAACACTGTTGGCTCTCTGTGGGTAAAACTGTGTTGTAGGTTTGTGTTGAGCTGCTAGCGGGCAATGTGGGTGAAAAGGTAGCGGTGAGAACCCCCTATTGTGAAAACAATTCACACCTCCCCACAAACATGGCCGTCCTGAGATAAAACGAACAGCACAACTGCAGCTTTCTTTATATCAAATCATGGACAATTGACACAATACAACAACAGCATTTAAACACAATAAAATACTTTTATCAATGTTGATTGCTTTATCGCCTATGGAGACAAAAATCCAGTTCACTTGCAGTGCTGCTAGGCATACATATTATCCAAATATATTACATCAAGTTTATTGAAGAAAAGAATTATATAGTTAAACTGCCAAAAACAGGCAGAAACTGCATGTAAAAACACAAACACTATACTATATGGTAGGGATGGGAATCACAATAGGCCCCTATAATACAATATTACCACAATACTTGAGCCATAAAGTATTAAATCTATAAATTATGCAATTAAATTGCATAATTTATAGATTTGTGACCTGCAAATCTCACCCAATGACTCTTACTGAAATATTAAAGTAGTGTTTTCACTGCAGTATCTGCAGTTCCTGACAGTAACTCCACTGAGAGAAAACTTGATCTCACTGGCTCTGTATTATGGACTAATGGTGCATTTACATTGAGGTGGTGTGTCATTATATTTTCGATGGGAAGGTTTTGTTCCATAGTTGCATGGAGCAGAACATTTGTACAACGCACTTAACCAACCAGAAACTGGTGGTCTTTGCAAGATTTGTGTCTGCAGCAATGTATGAAATGTTCTTTGCGTTTACCAAATGTTCTTGCATGAAAATTCATTAAATGATGAAATGATGTGAACTGATGAAATGACTTGACTGGAAGTGATAATTAACAGCATCTGGTCCCCTAATCCAAATCTGTTCAACCTTCTAAATGTTTTGATAAATATTACTTTAATGCTGCATTCTGTGATGCATTTCTGAATATTCAAAAAACTAAAATCGTTAATTTCATAAATATTGACTTAGCAAGACTATTTTCAGTTGGATTTTGCAGGGAATATCCTCATAACACCCATATGCAGCCAATATAAAGGGAGTATGCATTCAGACCAGTGTTAATTTAAAGCTAAGACAGAAATGCATGTTGGTAAGTAAGAAAATATTAATACTCAGGACTATGTATATCAATCTATGGCCTCTAACTTCAAAATATGTTATGCTGTTTAAATTTTTTCCCCACCCCAACTACATGGATTACAGTTGTTGATGAAGTTCACACTATAACCTTTAAGAAATGCAGACAGAATAAAACTTTAAAGATGAACCATTGATTAATTTTGCATAGCATGTTTAATGCATACCAATTATTTAAACGTTTACAATGTCAGCAGATGCTCCTATCGAGAGCAAATTACAATGGCGGTGTTATCCACTGTAATCCATTTCAGTGAGCTTGAAAGGAACTGAAATCACCCATTAGTAATGCCTAGGCACTATTTATTTATAAAAAGTGGAAAGCCCAATAACAATAATCAAACGTTCCCATTTACCAGCGAATAATATATCAGCTGCTGATATATCTTGCACCCCTAACTTCTTGTTTGCATATTTTTCTTAGCACCATGCTAGGTTATGCAAGTATGTGTTTCACGCAGCACTAAAATCAATAGGAAAAAGACACACGTTCAGATGGGTGTCTACAGTGCTCCGAGTGAAGACAGGGAGACGCTAATGAGGAAAGGCCTGGATGTTCTCCAGGTCTACTTCAAGACAATGGAGAGGATGTCTACTCCATGCGATTAGCACCGCTAAGTCCCACTAACAATGGCAACCAAACAAATACAGGGAAGGCTCAACATAATTGTGCTAGCCCAAGCCCACTGACACAACACTCTTCCACGCTGTGCTGCTGACCCTTTCTTACAACACCCATTGTATGTAGCCACAACTGTTTTAGCTTTGCAGCACAATGAACAAAGAGTTCAGTCAAATAATGCCAATGTTACTAAGAGTGGATAAAATCAATTAGCCACCAGTTAGCATTAGGCAAATGATCTCATGCTAACTAGTAACTACCAGCTTCTACTAACTTGTTGGCTGTGTCACTATCTTCAAGGTGTCAAACTCTAGAGCTGAAATATGAACATTACATACCACTTTCACCATAGCGCATTGTATTCCATGAAGCAAAGCCAAATAAGATAGACGTGAAGGAGTTTCTGAAGGTATAGCGACCGTAGCAGGTGTTTTGCCTTCACGTACAAAGGAGAGCTCTGGCTGTATTTTTTTTTTTTTTACCCTGACGCAATACGATTCACCGACAGTTTGTCTGCTTCTGCACAGGCTATCAAAGAGGCAGTAAGAGTCTGAAGGCATAGTTTGCATACCTGTGGCAACCAGCCATTCAGGTAAAACCAGTCTATCTATCTCTGCCTCTAAGGAAATGTCAGCTACTGTTAAAGTCCAACTCATGACCAAGAGAACGGCCAAAACAGGCTGCGTGTGCTCTTCTGGGAAGCAAAGCCCATTGGATATTCATCAAGCTCACAGGCCTGATAGGGAATGGTCCATGGGCTGACCGGGGCAGGCTGGTCATTAAAGTGTACTGAAAGACACTAACATGAGACTGCCACAAGTGTTGCAAGTTTAATGAATCCTGAATAATTGTGCAAGTTTCAGTTAGCCTCACTGCACACTGCACACTATACACAACTCGAAACTGCAGACTATCTGCAGTTTCTGTCTTCTCTGGTTGGAGTCATGGCTCTGTTATCTGTGCCACTGATTTACTGATAACCTGTGAGTCCTGAATGTTTTCAGAGAAATGTTTTGCTGGATAGGACTGTACACATTTGGGAGTGGCCACATTTTTATAGAGTGATGGCTGAGCTTAAATCGAAAGGACTCGAAGACACGGCATAGTCTAAAGTAACTCTCATGAAATTCTCAAAAGGAAGACTGGACTGTTCATTAGTCTGTGAAAGTCATCTGCAATGAAAAAAACCTCCTCCTTTTGCACAAACAGAAGAGCAAAGCTTGAACTGAAGGACAGTCAAGAGATTCCATTCTTGAAACTGACAACTTAATCAATGTTCACTTCATTCAAGGGGTCAGCATTTTTCTATAAATGTGATTCATGACTTTGAGGGCAAATATCCCAAGCAATATCCCATCGGTTTGCCACGTTTCCAGACATGCTTTCAATTTCATACTTTAATATACTAGCTGTAGTGTGATTTGAAATTCACCAGTCCAACTTACTAACACAACAGTAATTCATTCCACAATAAACTGACCCAACTGAACCTTCCGTTAGCAGATACAGAAGCCTATTCACTGGGATGCATTTTCTGCTAGCGCAACATTTCATTTTTGCAAAATGCCTTCAAAAGTGAAAGCTTCCTTTTCCCTTCCCTGATGAGAAAACAACCGTAACTGCTCTAATTTTAGTTCATCGTGTGTCATGCTCCCTTTTTACAAACTAGATTAGCAGTTTTGGCAACAGCACTTTGCCATTCCTCATCCTTCTTTAATTAGTACTTGAACTGAGGGGCTGTGCTGCATTTCTCCTGTTCATCTCCCTCTCACTAATTTCTCGCTGCAATGCTAAGAGCGAAACTAGTGCTTCTTGCTAGTTCATCTCTGCTTGCTCCTTGCTCGTATATTTACCCCTCAGGGTGGCTCATATCTGATCATGCCGGCTGCATCGTCATCATGAATTCTATCAAAAACCTTTTCATAAGGGCAAGTGAACCAACAGGCAGTGTTTTGAGTGAAACAAACAGCTCCCTGTGACCACGGGGCTCGAAGTGGAAACTCTGAAACCAGTGGATGGATGGTAAACCAGCCAGAGTTCTTCTCCATAAAGTGTATCAGCTGAAGTCTGGCTTTTGTGGTAGGGTGGAAGCACTTTGGACCACTAGAAGCTTTTTAGCTATGTTATTATCAGCTTACAAGAAGCAAGCCAGGGAACTGGTTTAGCCATGGAGCCAGGCTAGCAGGGGGTCCATGCTGTTCCTCCGGAGATGTGCAGATTGGGACGGGGAGAAGGCTCTTCTATCCAGTCCCCCCAGTGTCCCTCCAATGACTCAGTCAGGAAATGAGTTTAGTGTCTGATTCCAGCCGTCTGATAGAGAGGCATGCATGAGGCAAACAGGGCTGCTGCGGCTCTGACAGGCCTGTTTATATTGGCCTCGGCTGGCCAGACACCGCATCTGGAAACGAAAGAGGGGAAAGAGAGAAAAAGGGAGGGGGGCCGGCCCTTCCAAGTACTACTCCACACTCTTTGTTGCATGTGAAAGGAGTGCAGAATGTCTGGGACGAGAGGGGGGGCTGGCTATGACCGCTTTGTTATGGCAGAAATGTGGGCGATGAAGGTCAAGCATCCGGTCCCACTGGCTCTTTACGGTTTGCTAAGACGTTTTTCTAATTATTCACTCGCTCCTCTTTACAATTTTTTTTGCCAGAAATGTCCCAGGGTCTTTTAGGTTTCATTAGAAGCTGTGAGGGAGCCATTGTTATTACAACTCCAGCTGTGAGGACTTAAGGGATACTCTGAGAATTTGGAGCATAAGTGTTTCAAATTTTGCATCCCACGTCAGATTTCATTATCAGATGTGCCACACCTGAAACCTCTGGGACCGCAAACCAGTTTCATCCCGTACACAAGTAACTGTGTAAGAAACAGCTCATTCCTGGTTAATCTTCATATACTTGGTCCATGAAACTCCTTTAGGATCTATCCCACAATGAACATCTTCAATTACAAGTGCAGCCTTTTGAAGTACTGTTACTAATTTGGCTCTAACAGTACATACATTATTTTATATGCATGCCTCAGGATATCACTGCACTGAGAAAAATTCAGTAATAAGTGTGGAAACCAACATGTCACGCATTCACTGACCGTGGTGGTTTTCATGAAAACAGAAAGAATATAAGACACCATCTACTCAGATGGTATGTGGTTCATATGTAAAAACTGATAGGATTATATAAATAAAGAAAAAAATAGAAATGTAGTGATAAATCTTAATGTATTAAAGTTTAATGCATATTATGAAATATCAACTAGCTGTCACGCCATCCTGCTCTGCCATTTTTTCCATTTAAAATGGATGACCGGTAATCTCAGTTCATCCCTCATATATGGGATGAATCATAACCCCCATATATCCCCATATTTTCATATCCACTTGGATGAAAGGGGATAGCTTAATGTAGTAATGCATTAGTGGGCTTGGATTAGGATGGGTAACATTCATTTTACAAGCAAACCATCCAGGGTCGTTCTGTGAAAAGTTGCATGGTATCAAAAGACACAGGTTACAATGATAAACAGCCTGTATAATGGCCTGTAAAAAAATCATTTATTATACATTCCTTACTGAACTGGAGATGCTATTGGCTTCAGCAGAACAGGCTTTAAAGTCAAATCCTTGCAAAACCCTGGAGAATCAAAATATTTCACCTCAGGAGAACAATCAGCAGCGATTTTCTTTCAAGAAAAACAATGTCAGATGAAGATCCAGGATAAGAAAAGGATCAGATTTTTAGATGCTTGTGCAAGCTTAAGGACCTCTTAGCATTACAAGGATAAGCAGCGCTTAAGAAAAAAAAGCCTGTTTCATTCCTTTCCAAATGAATATGTGAAAAAATGGTCCTGGATTCATTTCCTTCATGCATAAAGTCTTTTGGAATCAATAAGATCAATGGTGCACTAATGTCAGAACCTAGAATATATTATATTTACATGCAGCCTTATGCCACTCCTTGATTAGATTTTGTAGGCAAGCCACTTCTGCTGTGGTTCAGGAACCATAAAAGAAGCTCCAACCTGACTCAGAAGCTCTTACCTTTTGCTTCCCATAATCAACCACTCCTGCATCACCAAAGGCATGCTAGTGCATGCCCAAAACACTGCAATTCATCCAAAGTATCCATGACGCTGCACTTCCAAACATCTGGAAAGGTGAAAGGCCTATAGCCAGCAGTGCCACCAGGCACTAAATGTTTTTATACTGAGAGTGGTGGTGCATAAACCATTGTAGATAATCTTACACATGCTCACTACATCCGAGCAATTACAGTGCACTTAATGGTGATTTGATGGTTGACGGTTTGGCTAAAAATCTAACTGAAACAATTTTCCCACCCCAGATGTAGCTGATGAGCCAAAACATGTTTGATGACTGAAGTGTCTAGCACTAGAGACCCAAGACTAATGTAGCTAATAATTAATGGAGGCTTAGTCGTCTCTCCCTCAAAGTTCATGCCTAAACCATCACACTTGTCTCAAACCACATCAATTTGTTAAGTAATCTCAAATATACTTGCTGATGTGGTTTCTGACACTGTATGACACAAACCCACTGTAACTGATAAAAACGAACAATGAGTACAAACAAAATTCAGGCTTCAGGATGCTACTACTGTTTGTAGCTATGTGACAAACTTTTGGTCCATTCTGTAAACACTTCATTTTAAGGCTACCTATATAGTGACTTCATAACGCATGCATAGGCACCGATCAACATATTTATGAAGCGATATTTCAGTATTTACAAAGAGCTTATGCTAGTAATTGCAAAATTACATAAGATTCTATAAAGTAAATGACACTGCACTAGCATAATGGGCCTTAAACTAAAGTTTTAGACATTTGGTCCATTTATAACGCTGATACGAAGCATCCTTTCCAAGTAATAGATCCTACAAGGCAGATGTGTAGTTAAGAACATCTTGCATTGGTTCTATGTAGCTCTACTTAAATTCTAGTTCAAAACCCTTATGTCAATATAATAGAATTTACTTCATCTCATGGCATCTCATAATCAATTTCATAAGATATTAATAGATACTCAAGTATTGCTTAATGAATGCAGTACTTAATGATTATGCATGTATTGTAAAGTTCCTGCATAGGCAGCCTCCAAATAAAGTGCCCATCGTGATAGGCCAATCTCAAATTTTTATACTCTTTACAACCAAAGTGGCCATTGGCCCATATTTATTACACGAAGCTCACAGTGTTGACACATGAAACACACTGTAAACCCTATACTGAAGTATTTGAAAGGCTACATGACACCTACACAAGGCTTGTATTACAACCAAAATAAATCTCTATAGACATTTATAAAGCCTATATAATGACAGTTATTTAAGTTTTGTCCATCATTTTATGGTCTCTTGTTGATGGGAAAAATTAAGCCTTTTTTTGCATTACTGTTCAGTGGCTGTATTTGTACAAGAATTTGTCAATAATATGCAAACACTACAAAAAAAGTTTACATTTAAATGTAATGTACTGTAAAATTTTGTGTCACTTAACACACTAAATGACAATTATATGTTTCTACCATTTTTTGTTTGAAATCCATACATTGTCAGTCTCTTTTTTATCACTGAAACTGTAGAGACACACACCTAGAGTCAAAGCTGTGATTACCTGTCAGAGTTGCAAAAATTACTTTTATTACTGTTTTCATAAGTCAGTTTGTTGAAAAAGTCAGTGTTTGTCGCTTAGCACTTGGGTTTAACAA